CCACCCCGCAACCTAGTGTGTTTTTCGACACTTCACCCTTGCTCTTGATGTTGGAGAGCAAATACTGATTTGTATGTGAAATTCACAGTTACAGAGATTTATGGTGCTGTAATTCTTGAACAGTCTTTGCCAGTAAGTTCAAAATTTTTGTTCTCCTTTGCAACTGAAATGATTGCTGTTTATATCAGTATGGGAAATAATTCTACATCTGGATGTATTTTAGTTGTTTAGTACTTCATTTTGCAACATAAGTAAGTCTGAAGATTCTGCTTTTTATTGTTTAATTATCCAGGTTTGTTTTGTCTTTGAAGGGAAAATTTTAAAACATTTCTGTCACTCGTCATGCATTAAGATTGGAACTGTGAAACTACCAAGTAGATGTGTAGACTTTGAGGGAAATGCTAAAGGGTCATCCCCTTTGAGGTGAGCTTGGGAAGCTGAAGACTTCGTTCCTTTCTCCTGAAGCTTCTTCTTCAGTTTGTTGAGAAACTAATCAAGGCAGGAAGAGATCTGTCTGCTCTGACTAACCACAGAAATGACACTTAGCGTGTACAAACCGATTTCATTGTTTACATAACAAAGCTTTCTTCAGTCAGTGATTTGTGGACATCGACAGCTTGTGCGTCCTGCAGATACCACATGCAGGTGTTTCTGTAGTGTTTGAGGCTACATTTTTCTTCTCCAGAATAATCTTGCATCTGACAGACAAATGAGTTTTACCCATGTTCTGTGCAGTGAGCTCTGATTCATGTTTAGATTGACTAAAAGAACATCTTTGGGATCAGGTGTGAACACTTGTTTTTAATCAGCTGTTGTCTTCTATAGGATTAATTTTACAGTTTCAACAGTTCTTAGATTTTGGTAGGCTTAGGCTAAAGCGTTGCTAGAAAAGCTGGCTAGGAAAATCTATCTGTGATGAGTTAGGAGAGCAGTTCTGGGTTTTGTGGGGTGAGGAATGTGGGGTTTTTATGATCTAGTTTCTTAATACCATTTTGGAGCACAAGCTTAACACTAATATTCTGGATCAGAAACATATTTTTATGAAAAATACTGTAAGAATTTTTCATAAAATCAAGATGAAATTCAGTGTAAATTTCCTAGCTGAACCTTGTATTTCAAATTCAACATGTAGTGTATGTAATATGTGAATATAAAAGGAATTGTACTGATTTGAATAAAAGGCCAGTCTGCTGTACCAGCATGTTCCTGATGTTAAGCAGTACTGCATCCTCAGGGAAAAGTGCAAAACCAAGGCAAATAGGATGGTAATACTACTTAAATACCTGGCTGCATACTGCTGTAACCTGACAGCTTGAGCTTTGTGTTTTCCCTCTTGATCGTGACTTAAATTGATAGAAGGTAACTTCTCACTTCTTATAGCTTCCCTTCCAGACTGATTTCCTAGAATTCTAATTCGTTCTTTTTGATCTTTCTATATATTATTTTTTAATCATCATCTTATAGTAACTAAAGACTTTACTTTTTCTGTCCAAAAAAAAAAAACAACCTAAAGGGCAACCGACTTCTTCATATTTTTCTAGTTCCTCTTTGAAATTTAACCTTAGTAATGGTGTACTTCTCACTTTTATTGTTCTTGCAGAGAAAATTTATTGAAATACATGGGTAGTTTCTTCTGGTTAGTCCTCACTTAACACTCCCACTGAGAGTTTTCCAGTCTAAACTGGTTAAGCAAAGGATTCCTATAATCTCACTTCCAGAAGAGTTGTCAACCTAAATCATCTGTGGTCCTGCATTTAGCAGCTTTCCGTGCTTCTTCAGTCTTTTAACCCTTACAAAGCCATTCTCAAGTGCTATTAGCCTGCTTTCAGGTGAGATGGAAGCTGTGTTGTTTATAGAGGAGCACTCTATTCCTTAAGTTCCTTCCTTTTTTCTGACTGTATTTCCTTGGTCATCTGTTGTATTCATTAGTCGTCAAAAAGTACCTAAATTGCATATGTTTCATATCTACATTTTATAATAGGGCATATACTGTCTCATAAACTTCTTGATTGTTATAAAAACATTTTTGGAGTACAAATCATTCTTCAGTTTGGATAAAAATAGCTTTACTTGATTTTAAAAAGCTGCAAGTGCATTCAATATGAGAATATTGTGGAAAACTATAGATACTCAAATAGTTATCTTCATAAAAATCTGGACCAACCCCTGGAGCTATTCTAATGCTGTTTTGCAATGATGGAATGAAAAATTCCTTGGAATAGAAGTCGTGCTATCTCCTACCTCTTTATTTACCTTTTTTAATTTTATTGTTGAGAGATAGTGGGTGTAATTTCCTATTCTAATAGGATTCCTGAATTTCATAATAAGAAAGTATAATCCTTGCCCCACAGTATCTTCAAAGGCATTGTTTCCAGAGAAGTAATACACAAATACAGTGACCTAGTTATGCATTTTGATGTGCAGCTCTATGGATTCTCTACCAGGGCACACTGCGGCACTCCAGCCAGTCTGTGCTGCTGTGATTTGTCTCAGGCCAGGCTGGAAACCACAGCTGGTTTATATTCCCTGTATAAACCAGGGGTATTACACCCTTGGTCCACTCGTCCGGAGCAGAGAGTTAATACATCCTCTGCTTGTTGTCTGGCCTTGCCTCTAGATTTTGTTCCTGCAGAAGAAATAGCAAAGCTGTTTTTAACCTGGGACTTTCCAATATGTGTAGTTGAGGTGTGGCTGGAAGCAAACAGAGCAGCAAAATTTTTGTGGTGCCCTTGAGCCTTCTCATTCAGGTCTACAGTGCTGCTCCTGGGACCAGTGGCAGTAGGGTCGGATTCTGTCTTTTGTTTTGTGGACTAGCCTTCAGTCACTTTTTCAGCTGCTGATAAAACCAAATCAGGAAGAGGCTTAAAGATGGGTTTTTTTTCAGAATGGAGCTGCATTAAAGACTTCAGCATGTGGTGCAGGTTGTAGAACAAGCAGCAATAAAACTGTGTGCATCTCTTGTTGCACTCTGCTGGATATTAGAACAAGAGAGGATTTGTTTAAGAAGGGTTTTGCAGAAAACTCTTGTGTGAAAGCTGTCATTTTTCTGTAAGATTTTGAAAACTGATGTTGTGGAAAACTGAAAATGAGCTTCACTGGTTGTGAAAACTTTCTCAAGCATGCTAATTTTTTAATAAGCTTTTTAGGTTTTGTTGAGATGTTCAGTTTAGTTAACTGTATACCTTTTTCTCACAGTTCGTTAGGAATGCCACTCCTTCAACCTAGGAACATATTTTTCTGCCTCTTGCAGGTAGAGTTTGCAGAATTCTGCATCAGCAGTGGATACCCTGATTTTTAGGAAGACCTTGTGATACTTAAGCTTGAGAATGTTTTTTTGAAATAATGGAATGACAGCCAGATAGCACACAAAATTTCACATATTCTAGACTTCAAGCAGTAAAGTTAAAGCTATTGCCAAAAATAACTCCACAGGAAGATGGTGTTTCATTGTACCAGTCCATTTTGCTTGCTGGTCACCTGCAGCACACTTATGGAGGCCATTCCCCCTCTGCTCAGCACCCTGGTGTCCTGCATTCAGCCTGTTGTGTGCAGCATCATGGGGTGTTCTCTGCACAGCTTTCGTCTACCCTGCTGTCCTGCAGCTCACACTGGTGTGAGCAGGGATCTGCCAAAGGTGAGCCTTTATTCACACTGGGTGTCTCCATGGGGAGGTCCTGGCTCTCATCCCATCCCTCCAGCTTGGTGCTGTCTTTGCACTTCTTGAAGGCACATTCTGTTCTGTTTGCCAGGTTGGTGATGAAGAAGCTAAGCAATATTGATTGCAGTGTTGGCCCTGAGAAATGCTGCTCGTAGTTTGTTTGCCAGTTAAACTTCAGATTTATGAGCTCTCTTTGAACCTGACAATGACTAGGAGCCAATTTTCCAGCCCTTTTCTAGACTTGTTGCTGAACTGTTCAATCCAGAGATAATTTGATGGGAGCTAAGCAAAAACAGTTATTCCATGTGAGTGTTAAAAACTGGGAACTAAAGCCTGAAATAGCAAGGGATCTGTATTACTTCTCTGTTAAAAGAGTTTGTTCAACATTTTTGAGAAACCACATCCTTTTGAAATGTCTTTGATTGGCAGCCAGAGTTCCTTTCAAAAGACTTGGGCAGTTGTTCTCAAGTAAGTATCACTTTTCCAAGGTAGTTTGGTAGACTGGCACAAGTTTTGGTAGTTTAGCTGATAATTTCTAGGATTCTTGGGTCACATTTCATTTGTATTTTCTGGTTCTTTTCAAGATTTTATATAGTCAGAGATGCTGTGCATTTTGGTAATGCTCTGTTTTGTCATAACTCCTGCATGCAGATTTGCATAATGCAGTCATGCATTCTCAGAATAACTCTAGCTCAAGAATTGTGTTTCCACAGTCAAAGATCTCTCCTCTTTCTGCTTTTAGACCAGGCTAAAGTGAATCTTGACTTTTATATATAAATACCTGTGATATTGGTTTATGCCACTTTATCCTCTTTTAGTTAAGTTGCAAAATGTGTCGCTGGAGAATGTCAGTTACTGTGTAAGAGTGCTTTGGGAACTTGGCTTTAGCATTACAGGTACATTGTACAATGACATTGGATTCTAATGTAGCTGTCAAGCAGGAGAAATAACTTTGAGTTTTTACCTTGGTTTACTGTTGTGCCTAGAGCTGGAGGGGAAGAAAACCAAGAATTGCACAGAAAAAAAGACTTGAAAGAGAAGGGACAGTCATATTTAGTGTCATTGTAACTGTAACTGTCTAGTAGGAAATGTATTTGTGAATTCCTGTCACTCGTCTGCTTTCTCTTGTGATTGCATATTGAGCAATAATCTTTTAGTATTTTAAGGCTCTTTTGTGTATTAATTATATGGGGTAGCATCTGGCAAAACTGAACTGTTTTATACTTCTTGCAACACCTTAATTTTTACAAGCATGACAAGAATAACAGTGGGTACTTTTATCTCCTCTTACTGCAGGGAAAGTCTTGACTAAAAGAGGATTTTTTTTTCTTTTTGCGTCTAGATCTTTCAAAGAACAGATTTACTGAAATTCCTCCTGATGTCTGGTTGTTTGCACCACTGGAAACTTTAAATTTGTATCACAACTGCATCAAATCCATTCCAGAATCTATTAAAAACCTGCAAATGCTTACCTACCTTAACATTAGGTGAGTAATGGTGGTTGGTTTTCATCTTTATTTCACATATCTCCTTAGAGAGTTGGCGTTTTGCTTCATCAAGTCATTGGGGTTGCAGAGTTTTCTTTGTTTCTGATGCTATGTAGACAGAGAGTGTTCAGAAACCACAGCTATAAAAATTTGCTGCTATCAAGAGGCTAAATTACTCTGGTCAGGAAGTCCTACTGATTTTGCACATTATTTACATCCATTGCTGTAGTGCTCTATTTAAACTTGGAAAACACTTGGTTGGATTTTCTCACTAGAACAGAAGATGGATATGAGCTCTGGAAGGAGAGGTAATCTAGAAAACTCTCCTGACCGTTTTTTCTGCAATACTCCTTATTTCTGATATCTGCATCAAATCCAAAGCAGTTTTCTCAGTTAAGAGCTATTTAAATCCCCCAAACCTCCTGTGTCTCAAAATCTGCAAATACCAGTTCTAAGTAAGGTGCTCTGTGTTATGTGTAGTAGATATAATTCGGGTCTTTTCTAATATGATATATGTGATATTGAATATTTGTTGGAGTATACACGTTTGTATTAGGATTCTCCCCCACCCTTGCAGGCGAAACCTGGTGTATGTTGAAACCCGATTTACAAGTAAAAGGATGTGGCTTGGCCAGGAGATGGGCCATGTCTGGAGAGATACTGGGGACCCCAGGCGCTGAACATCGTGTGAAAGACCCGAGATGGATATCATGGAAATCCTGTTCTTTCCTTGTGGCTGGCTAGATAGAATTTGATTACAAATAAATATTTTATTTTTTCATTTTAAATTTGGCTGGACAAATTTTCATTTATAACAGTACATTTATAGAAGCAATGTATTAATTCTGTTAAATTCTGAGTGAACAATACAGAAAAGTTATTTTTATATATATATGCATTAAGTCTCTTTTTATGTTGCGTTTCAGGCAGATATGCCAGGCTTTTCTGGTTGAAGGCATGAGAAGCAAAAATATAATATGCAAGTAAACTTTTTTTGAAGTGACTATAAAAATGTGGCAATGAAGCAGTCATTCATGTCACTTACATAGATTTCCTCTGTTTTTTTCAGGTCTTTGGTTTTTTTAGGAGCTGCCTGCTTTACTATGAAATTCACAATACATTTCTTCCACCATCTGAAGCCCAAATTAGAATGTGGTTTTCTCCTGTAACAAAGCACCTGAGCTAGGAAGGCAGGATTTTAGCCAGTTCTCCAATGCTACAGCCCACACGTTCCTGCACTGCAAAATCAGTCCTTGGACAGGAGCACAGAAACGAGGACAAAGCACAGTTTGGCAGAGGATCATCAAGAGAATCCACTCTTGAAAGAGTTAGAACTACACAGTTGCTGTGTAAAGAAATGTATTCAGCACCTCAAGTACCATTAAAAGAGAAATGGGTTGCTGCTGAACAAAGGCCATATTTCTTTCAGAAAATACTGTGGTTTTGTATCATAATAATCCTCTTTAAAGTTGTGTCAGAGTGTTATAAATGCAAATTTGTCCAGCCAAATTAATACGAATAAATAAAATATTTATTTTGCAGTCAAATTTTATCTAGCCAGCCACAAGGAAAGAACAGAGCCGAGCCCGGGGTCGGCCCTGGGTGTGCAACAAAGAGGTCAGCCTCAGCAGAGGTTTTCCTCTATGCCCACACACTTCCATCCTGGCCCAAGCGGTTTTTATAGGGAAAATTCCGCCTGAGGCTAAGATTTTGGCAGTCAGTCTTTTCTTCCATTCAGAGTCCATAGGTTAATAAGATTTTCTTTTTTGGTGATGAAGAAGAGTCCGGAGTTGAAATTACGGGAACAGCTGCATTCACTTGTATCTGCCCGAGGATTCCCATGATATCCATCTCGGGTCGTTCACACGATGTTCACGCGATGATCAGCGCCTGGGGTCCCCTGTATCTCTCCAGACATGGCCCATCTCCTGGCAGAGCCACCTCCTTTTACGTGTAAATCGGGTTTCAACATACATCAGGTTTCTTTTGCCTGCAAGGGTTGGGGGGGGAGTCCTAATACAAACTTGTATACTCCAACAGATATTCAATATCACATATATCATACTAGAAATGGCGCGAATTATATCTACTACACATAATAGTACTGTTAGAAATTTCCTAGATTTCTGCAGTTCTATAAACTGTAATCATAGAGAAAATATTAAAAAACCGCCAAGATTTTTAGCTTATGAAAACAGTGCTCTGACTTTATATCAGTTAAGCACTAAAACTTCTGGTATTTTTGTTAATGTAATATAAACCCAAGTATTAGCACTTAAAAGTAACTTTTTTTGTCAAAAATAGAGCTAGGTCTGCCTAAATCAACAGCAAGTACTGATTTTTTTTTTTTTTTACTTTTACATATGAAAGGAATTGCCTCCATATCACATCTGAACAAGCTTGTTTCCCAATGACTTTTTAAAATGTATCTTATTAGAAAGATTTTAGGTGCTTCTGGCAGTGGAAGTCTATCCGTGTGGGTCATTTTTCAATGTAGATTTAAATCCAATAGTGGATTACAGTGTATTTGATATGCACAAAGCAGATATACATGCATGCAGCTGGAAAATAATATACACAGAAGAAATACATTTTAATTAAGGCTTCCTTTCCAGCCTATTGCTGCTCAGAAAAATAATTAAATGTTTAGGGCTTTTTGGGATGGCTCAGGAGGGTCACAACAACATGACGTGAGAACAAATATAAATAATATAAAGTTCTGACTTGGCAGACTGTCAGATCAGGTGATTCTTCTGCAGGTACCAGCAGGATAAAAGCAAGTGTCAAATATTATTTATTTTAACAGATTTCTCTGTACGTTTTGGTATTAGTTTCTGTCCTAGTACATCCTCATTTCATCACATAAAATGGGGATCTAAAATTCACATACCGGAAATAGGCTGTATCTGATAAGGAATTTGTTACGGACACTGTAGATGAAATTGTAATAGATGGAGAACGTGATCTGGGACAGGAAAGAAGTTGTACCATATTCATCTCAAACTCCCTGAGAGCTATATAAGAGATTATAATTCAGCCTTTCTTGTCCCTTTTTCTTGCTTTCAAGTCGAAATCTTTTGTCAACATTGCCAAAATACCTGTTTGATCTTCCACTGAAAGTTTTGGTTGTCAGTAATAACAAGCTGGTGTCCATTCCAGAAGAAATTGGAAAGCTGAGGGATCTAATGGAGTTGGTAAGTACAACTGTGAATCTTTGTAGTACTTATAAGCGCTATATATTTATGTCATGTATTCATTATATATTCAGTATAATAAATTGTTAATATTTTTACAATATAGAACTACAAAATTTAAATTTAGTTACTGTGTTTTGGTTTTTTTGGTTTATTTTTCAAGGTTGTCAAACCCAGAATGCATGCTTGATGGTGATTAAGGACATAGTAGAGGGTATCATTCCAGTACCTGTGATATACCTATTTAGAACATAAGAAGACTGGAAAGACTCTGTGATTGTTCAAACACTCTGGTCTACATAAATTAATATTAAATTAGTGTCAAAAATAGCTGTAGTCTGTGTTCACTGATGCAGCTTTCTCACCCTCTAGTGCTTGTATCCAAAAAGCTGGAGCCTGCTATTGCTGTCTGCACATTTTTTAGTTTCATGAGTTGGTTCAAGGTTTATTAAGGAAAATGAATTTTTAGAAGAGGAACAGAATGCCAGTCAATTGCCAGCAATAGCACAAGAAGTTTTTGACAGATCTGGGAACTACATCAGGAACTCTTGATTCCTAAGCTACAGTATTCATTTCAAACCCAGTATTTCATCATTCATTGATTTCACTTCTTGAATTGAATCTCTGTAATCATTAAATACTTTAAAAAAACAGCAAGATCTGTTGTTCTACATCTTCTCCATGGAAAATACAAGATAGCTGAATTTAATTTCTTGGATTTCTTTTCTTTTAATAGGGTGTTTTATAATAGTTTTGATCGTATTATTTCTCTGTATAATTTCATTTAAGATGTTCAGCTGATTTATTAATTGTATCTTTCTTAGGATATTAGCTGTAATGAACTTCAAGTTCTTCCCCAGCAAATAGGAAAATTGCAGTCACTTAGAGAATTGAACGTAAGAAGAAATAATCTCCATATGTTGCCAGATGGTGAGCTACTCATCTTCTTTCCATTGATGTAGGCAAATTAGTTAAAGTGTTAAGAAAATAACTGATTCTTTTTTTGTTTGTTTGCTTTTTTTTCCTGAATGCAGAATTAGGAGACCTTCCCTTGGTAAAGCTGGATTTTTCTTGTAATAAAATTACAGAAATTCCCATTTGTTACAGAAAGTTACGTCACTTACAAGTTATAGTTTTGGATAACAATCCAATGCAGGTACCACCAGCACAGGTTAGTATTAAACCACACAAGTACAGAAATTTTCATTAGGATCTTTGAGGAAGCTCTTCTAAATTATACCAATGAAGTTTTCTCCTTTTTTAGCTGTATTTTTTGTATTTCTCCTTTTGGGGTGTTGTGGCTGTAAATGCAGTGCGGCAGGTATTTCTTGGGGTGTATTCTCAGCAGACATGCTGTATAATTAAGAATTCTTTTTGTTCTTGTGTTTCCCAACAGATATGCTTAAAGGGCAAAGTACATATATTTAAATTCCTTAGTATTCAGGCGTGCCTCAGAATAGATAAAAAACCAGATTCTTTGGATCTTCCATCATTAGGTAAACGAATCCCCTCCCAGCCACTTACAGACAGGTGAGTAGTGGGGTTTTTGAGTATAGAGAACATATCTTGAAAAAGATGTTTATTTTCTTATGGAGAGTGAAACTACTGTTTCTTTCATTTTTGTGCGGATTTTTTGTGTGTTATTTTTCTTAATGAAGCATTGAGGACTTTTATCCCAATAAAAACCATGGACCAGACTCTGGCATTGGAAGTGATAATGGAGATAAAAGGTTGTCCACTACGGAGGTGAGTATTTTTTCACTACTGAATTTGTAATTTCTGATTTTTTTAGAACTTTTTCCTTTGTATTTTATATCATTTGAGAAATACCTTAGTAAGTTGTATTTAATATTCTTTCAAGATGTGTACAGTTTAGTTTAAACCTTTAGGCTGCCATATCAGACACAAATTACTTATGTATTTCTTTAACTTTTCTGGTTAAGGCTGATTCTAATTAATATGATATGATGGGAATATAAGAAATCATATAATACCATTTCCATGTCAGTTCTGCAATAAAACATGAGTGTCTTTGCAGCCATCTGATGATGATACAATCAGCCTTCACTCCCAGGTATCAGAGTCAACAAGGGAACAGACATTAAGGAATGACAGTCATGTAATGGGAAGTAAACTGGATCCACAGAAAGGTAATAGCAGTTCTGCATTTGTTGTTTTAGGTAACAGATATTTTGCTTAGGTAATCTAATGTCGGAAGATGGCTCAAAATTACAGGATTGTGTGTTGGTGTTGTATTTTCATCAGTACAGAAAACAATGTAATAATCACAAGCAGAAAAGGCTTGAGAGAAAGGGAAAAAATTATTTCTATCTTAAGAAGGCACAGTTTCTCTGTTTTATCTTTATCTGACATTTCTCATAAGTACTTATTTTTCTCAGGAATAACATTTGGTCAAGAGAATTGTTTCAATGTCTTTCCTGTTCTTCCTAAATCCTCCCCAGACCAGGAGGCGTTTGACTACATTGATCCCAGTGCAGAGGAGGGAGCTCTTCCTGAGCAGGGAGATGCACAGATTGGCCCCCTATTCTCCTATGTCAAGGTATTAGAGACTGATAAAAGAAAAGCTGTTGAGTAGCCTTGATTTCCCCCCTGACCCCCCTCTCCTTAATTCAATTCTAACTTTTTTTTTTTCCATTTTGTTGAAGGAACGGGGAAAACATCCTGAGAAATCCCAGAAAATAGAACAAAATGAGGACTGGAGAGATGAAAAAAGGTAAATCTTCTTAATATTTTTGAGTAGATTTTACTAGTAGTGGCAGGGGTGATAGTGGGGTATTTTTTAATCTCCTTGCATATGGAGAAAAGAATTCTCATATTGAACAGAGTGTTCCTCTTGGACAGAGAATAAGCTTACAGGAAGCACTGCCTAATTACTGCCATAATGAGCCATTTCTGTTTCTTGATTCACTGAAGTGAGGCAGGTAACTAATGTTAAAATTTTCAGACTCCAGAAAAAACAGCTGCTGGCTGAAGATGATGATGAACTCAAAGAAGTGACTGACTTGAGAAAAATAGCAGCTCAGTTGTTGCAGCAAGAACAAAAACACAGGTATAACAATATTAGTTAAAATTACTTCTGTTACAATTAATTTATTCTTTAACCTCTCTTATTCCCAAAAGGTTTTGACACCTTATTTTGAGAAGAGTTTTGTCCAGCTGCTAAAGAGTGAAGTGATGGACTCTGTCAAGATACTGTTGTGTGTTTCTTGTCTGAATTACACAACTTCTCTACAGTTTGTTTGTGACTGGTTATTTTTATTCAGATACAAGCTAATTTAGGTCATACTTCCTTCAGTCAATATCCTGTGGACTGAAGGGGAAATTAGTTTTAACATTATCATATCTAATGGCAATATATATGGATAAAAATGAATCATTTCAACTGCCTGCCTTTCTCTGCTTCATTATGGGCATCTCAACAGAATTTTGAAAAGGAGCCATGGAACAAGCAGCAGATTAAAGGAATGTAATAGAACAAGTTAGCAACTGTGTAAAATGAAGAACAAGAAGGAATAGCTGGAGTCACATAGAAGTGGCCAGGCTGGCATAAGAGCAGTTTCTGTACTGTTCCTTTAACAAGCAGGCAAATACTGTAAGGTATTTCTAGAGTAAGTGCCTCTGAGAAGTGTAAGTTGTATTTAATAGTAGTTCATTAACTAAAATAGTTCATAACACTCATTCAGTATCTCACAGTAATGGATGTAAGTTCATACCAACTTAAATACTATGCTCTTTTCTTTCAAATTTCTGTGTAATTATGATACTCTGCTGCTTTGCTTTTAAGATGGTTGAAATACACATGAAGCCCTTAGAGAAACTGAGATCTCAATACTATGAATTGCAGGGTCTTAAAAATTCACCCGTATTTTATATTAGGTAAATATTGTAACAGTAGTGTGTGTGTGTGTGTGAAAGATAAAACAGGTTTTGCTTAGAACTCCAAGCCCTGCATTCAATAATTGGTTGTTCACAGGGAGGGGAAAAATAGGAATGAAATGTTAACGCTAGGGTATTCTCTGTACCTGAAGTACTGCAAATAAGGCCAAGAATGCATCATTTTCTCCTATTAAGGAAGAGAGAATGAGGGTGTTTTTCTCCTATTAGGTTTTAATATGATAGTTATTTATGTTGCATGAGGCTCTTGTTTGGTTATGTATTTCCTGGTTATCGAATAATTTGAAATGCCAAGCCACTCATCTTCTGAAGTACTGCAATTTGAATTTTACTTGTTATATATTGTTGTGTCTTAATGCAGTGGTCTTGCTAATTGTTCTGCTTTGTCTTGAATTATGCAGATATACAATCTTAATAGTTCTTAAGTTTTACTTCTTAGTTTAGCATTTATATTTTAAAATTGGCTTATGTATCTTTAGGTACATGACCTCAAAATCTCCTCTAATAGAAAATTTAGTCCTGACTGGCAATAAAGTTATTATTTAGCATTTAGTGAATTTACTTCTATGCTTATTTGTGGAAAACATGATCAATCAGTGAACAGAATCCTCATAGAGGTTAAGCATCACAAAATAACTCCTTAGTAATCACATTTCTGTTTGTTCAGCGTATGTTTTTGTAATATTATGCAGTCTTATCTCCTTTTGCTTGCTATGCTAATGACTTCCCTGTCCTCTCCCATCAACCTATCCTGCTTCTTCCTTCCGTCTTTGACTTTGGTGTGCATGAAATGTGAATACAGACGAAGGCCACTAAGCTATAGAACTTCATTCAGTGAAAAGCTCTTCCAGAGGACCAGGGCGGCAGGACGTGCATCAAGGTATAAAGACTTAAAATGTGGACAAAAGAAATGCTCTTGGCCATTTCTTAAACAAACACAGTTAAAGAGATTGGCTGAGTTAGCCTAAGATGTTTTGTTATCAAAACCAGTTTGCAGTATTTTCTTTGTTCTTTAGGATGAACTATTAATTAAGAAAAATATTTAATTAGGTGATTCTTCAAAGACCACTTTGAGTCCAAACCTAAAAGCTTTTATTTTTCTTTAAGTATACAACCTCAAATATAGTACCTCATGCAAAATGGTGCTTTTACTTTTTTGGGATTTTGTTTGGTGTTTTTGTGTTGTTTGTTTGATACTTTGGTTTTAAAGTGATCATTTTCAAGTTAGCATGACCAGAGATAATTTGTTTTGCATTTGACCCATGGTGGAAGTATTTGTAATATACAAACCTCACCAGTAACATAAAATTGCAGTACAGTGTAGACTATACTCAAACATGTGGGTGTTGAATGAAGTGATTTCAGATTTGGTTACCTTATAAATTGAAGCTCTGCAACTTGTCTTTTTCAAAAGATAGTAGAGTAGTTTAGATTAAAATAATTTTCATTGGTTCCAAATGAGCCTGTTTGAATTTGCATCATGATTAAGTCTGGGTTTTTACTTGGCAACAGTGGTTTGCTAAAACTGTCTAAATCCAGAAGAGCACAGCTTCAGTCACAAAGCAGAGCCAGATGTGAAGTCAGTGCACTGCTCTGGAACGAGTTGAAAATAAATCATCTTTCTCTCACTGAACAGGATTTCTAGTGTCTTTTTACACTTTAGAGATTCAAGGTAGTTCTTGCTTATCTAAACTTGAAGATAGCTAGCCTTAAAATAACACTACCATTTTCACCTCATTTGTCTGTTAATCATTGTTATGTTTGCACAAAATCTGAAAGTATAAGTTGCTGAGAAGAAATTCCACTCTTTAAACTCTGAAACTTGAGAAGATATTTTCCAGTATCTTTGTTGGTCTTGCCATTGCATTTCTCTGGCAAGCAATTTGGAGTAGATGCTGTGCTTGCACAATATAGAAGTAGAATATATAAATGTGGTGTTGAGTAATTTAGATTTTAAAAATTGTGTGAGTTTTAGAACCCTTTAAGATGGTTAGTTTGCATGTTATCTCTGTAGCAACATGTTGCAGCACGCCGTGAGGGGCGTGCTGGGCGGCTGGGGCAGGGGTGTGACTGTCCCCCTTCAAGCTCTGTAATTCCCAGTTATCAGCAGGTCCGGCACAGAGACAGACAGCGATGACACGGGGCTTGGAGTGGAACAACATGGATTTATTCCTGGGCTCCCAGACAAAGCTGAGGGGGGGGAGATGAACAGAAGTTTTTTTACAGTAACTCAGGAGTAGGAGTGTAGGAGAGTAAACCAATGAGGATATGGTAAGGGAGGAGTATAAGGTGGGGCAAATAGCTCATGGGTGTATCAGGGAAATTGGAGGGGGGGGATAATGCGAAGTAACAAATAGGGTGTCGAGAGCATCAAGACAGACACAGAACTCTCTGGAGAAAGGGTTAGGGATAGGGAGGGTTGACAACTTGGAAGGGAGGAGGTTAGGGAAGGGCTTGAGAAAATTGGCCACTGGGAAAGGGAGGGGATTAGGGAGGAGAACAGGGGGCAAACATGGATTCAAAGCAAAACACACGTCAGCAATAGAACTGTTGTGATTTGTAGGAATCAAACTAGGAAATTAATTGCAGTTCTAGCTCAGTTATCCTATGCAGGTTCTTAGTTCATGAATCAGTCAGGACATCAGTATTTGGCCTGATAATTGACCTATACAATAAATATTTGGGTTTGATGATTAATGATGTGAGTGTCAACAGTTGCTGAAATTATTAGTGGACCATCAACACCACTTTTGAGTGTAACTTCTGAACTTGAACTACTTCTGCTTTCATGTTACATACTCTGCTTTGCATTGTGTTTATTGGAAGACAGTAATTAATGTGCCTGCAGTGATTCGCCCTGAACCCCTTTCAGCTGAACAAATTATTTTGCCAATTGTCTGCAATTTAGTAGATTCAGATTAATTTTCTTCACTATTTTTTTTTTTTTAGTTAAAGAAAGTTTATTATTCAAGTTTGTTATGCCACAGGAAATTGAGATTTCTGTAACTGGGCTTGCAACATGTCAGCTCCTGAACTTGCTGTTACTTCCCCATCTATATTCTTCAGTTTTTAAATAGGAGCTTTCAAAAATAACTGGCGTTTTTTAGAAAATATAAGAATATACCTTGTGTAAATAATTTTAGTTCCTTATGAACTCAGTTATTAATTATATAGATGTTGCACAGAAATGGTGAAAAGTAGATGAAAATTGTATGTATATATATGTTAGAATTAGCTTGAATGGTTTTTCCTTGTGTTTCATATAATAAGGATAGAAAAGGAATAGCCTATATTATATACAATCATTGCATTTACACTACAGTGTCAGTGCAAGTGCGCCAGTGTTGCATTAAACTGAGTCTAATTTTTTTTTACTTGTAATTCTTGTTTGCTACAAAGTCTCACTGAATTTCTCATTGCTTTCATTTGAAGATAAAGCTAGTTTAAACAGGGGTTCTCTGTAAAAAAGTAATGACTTTAAAATAGCATGTATATATTCTGGATTGCTAACCCATGCTCTGGGTATTATTTTGGTTACTGTTTTTTCAGGCTGTAGTATAAATTAATTCTGGGATGCTCCTTCAATCTTAGTTTGTGAACACAAAATAGAGGAAGCAGGTGCTACAGACTGAGTGCAGCAGACATTTACAGGCTTAACTTCTCATAATCCCATTTAGCTGAGGGTCACACAATGAGAGGTTTATACTGAATATGAGATTACTGAGCTCAAAATTATCATAGTAATCAGAAAAGTTTGATTGAAAAATCATCAGGCATTTAAAGTTAATGGCTGTGCTGCAGTACATAATGGTAAAGAGATATAAAAAGGGGCCTACTGTTTTACTTTCTTCCATGGAATAATTGGTTGTGTTCTGATTCTTAATACATTCTAGTTCTCAATATAATTCTGTGTAAATACACTTCCACCACACTTCTGCAGATGGAGTCGGTGTCAAAGTGTAATATTGCCACCTTCAAGAGTTCAGAATTTTTAATTTAAGTTCAAGATGATGCTTACTTGAAAACATTTAGTTTTAAGTGTTACTGATAATTTTGTTTTTAACACTTAAAACATCCATAATAGCTTGTATCATCTTCCTGTGCACATACACATATGTAGTATGCATTTGCTCCAGATGAAAACACCTTTCTGAATCTCTGTAAGTTTTGGCTTTTTTTTGGCTGTTTACCATTTAGAAAAACGGAATTTCCATTAAATTCTGCGTTAAATTTTTTATTTTGTTCTTAGCCTCTTAATTTTCCACCTCACCTTTTTACCTACATTTCCTTTGCACTTGCAGCATTTCTTTCTCAACCACCTTCTCATCTGTCCCTCCCATCAGACTTTTTTGTGCTCAGTCTGTCTCTATCCTTTCTGGTCTGCTTTAGGTTGACTCTCTTTCGTCTTCTAATTTTAGGGAACAGTGGGACTTTTTGTGTTGAGAGCAGCATCACTTTACACAGGTGTGAGATCAGTTGAAATAGTATCTATTTAGGGAGAAAAATAAGAGGAGACTTCTTTTTGGTTTGAGTTATCACCAAGTTTTGCTTCCTTAAAATACAGAACTTGAAATACTTCAAGAGCTGGAAATTACACTCTTAATTCAAATGGAAGCAGGAATGCACTTGGATTTCATATGTGTTTACACACATTTTTTAGTTTTGTGGAAGAGCCACCTAATGTTCAAAACTTTTTTATTTACAGGAAATATGATGCAGTAAAAGTAACATATTCTAAGAAAATTGTTTTAAATACCTTTTTTTCCCCCTAGGCTTCTTAATCATTCAGTTTCAGTAAACACAAGGAACAGGCCAAAGCAGCCAATGGAATCTGAAAAATGGTATTGATATACTTAACTATATCACAGCTTTCAATGTTTTATTGCTTTAATTTTTGTTTATTATGTTACTACTGCCATCTTCTGTCATAATGTTTTTAAAAGCTCATTATTAAATTGAAGCTACAAGAGTAATCTATACTTGAGCTTCTTTCTTTCAGATAAAAAAAAAAATCTGTTCTTCTGAGCATTTAGGAAAGTAGATGTGATACAGAAACAAATTTGTAGGTTTGATTATGGTAGCAATTAATCTATGTTTCAGACCTCTAATTTCAGTGTGGAAGGTTGTAGCTCCTCCCACAGGTGATTGTGCTGTGCAGATGTCTTATCCTGTCTTACACAAGATGCCACTGGAACTGTGCTTAGGCACAGGAAAATCTAAATTTTCCTCCTTGTCAGTCCCTTTGTGCTGTTAAGAGCTGTTGGAAAAGCATTGCTAGGAGGTCAGCCTACAACACCTTTATTGTTTGTGGAGGATATGTTACTGAGGAATCCACTGTCTGCATGAGCTGTACTTAGGCTTTTTCTTTGAATTTAAAAAAAAAAATAAATAAATAAAGCGAAACACCCACACACAAAACAAAGCAAAGAAAAAAAAGAAAGCCAAACCTAGAAACCATCAATAATTTAAAATAAGCAAAGCCTTGTCTTTAGGGAACTGGGAAATGTCCAGACCTGGAGAGAAAAAAGCTGTAACTGCTCTTGGTGCTGGATAGCAGTGGGGTGGGTATGATCTCTGCAGTTCAGCTATGCCTCAGGGGATCATCTTGACCCAGTGGAGCTCCTTCAGTGTGGCACATCCTACTTTGGCTGTCTCTCCTCTCAGTGGTACCTGTGGTTTTTCGGAGCTGGCTGCACACATGTCCTGTGGTTGTGTGACTCATGCTGCAGCTGTTACTTGGAACCTTCCAAGCCTTGCTTGCTTATCACAGGTTCTCTATGAGTTTCTGTCACCTATTCAAGTGTACTCCTCTGTTAGGCTTCTTTATTAGAGAAGGGAAGAATTAAATTCACCTTTTCCTTTTTTGTTAATGAAACAGGCAGTTCTGAGACTTAAAACCAAAACAAACAAAAAAATTCAAAATAAGTTTTATCTGAATAAAAATACTGTAGTGTGGAAGACCCATTGTCAAGTTATGTTAAAGGAGAGTGAAATATGATTTCAGATTTTAGTTTAATGGTCATGCTTTGAAGCCACATTGTGACATCTTGTACAGAGTGCAGAAAAATACTGTAGTGCTGTGGAGAAGCTACTTTTTAAGAGTTCACTTTTTCGATATTTTCAAGTAACTTGTTTTAAAGTACACAAAAAAGTAGTGTGCTTCATATTACCTTTCATCTTACTTTTTAGTGTTTCAACAAATGAAGTGAATTCCTCAGTGTCCCCATACAGCTGGCAGGTAAATATTCAAGTGTAAATGTGGTGGTTTTATATTGTAGTGATTTTGTTGTTGGTTCCTTGATTTTGTCTGTATGGCAGAAAACTTCATGCATTCATGTGATTGCTTATACACATAGTTCTTGCAGGTGTCTTAATTGTGGTGGAAAATATAAACCGTTTGGAGAGCTTATGCCTCAATTTGACTTGTTTGTAATGGAGGCCTTTTGTTTTAAAAGCATGTGGTACCAGCTTTAAGGTCTTGAAACTAATGAGGCATGAATTTTACTTTCTTGGGTTTAGTATGTCTTTCCATATACAGGTATTGCCTCACCATAAGGTTAAGTTAGGTTTTTAGATGCAGCTTCTAGATGGGTTGGAGTGTGTAGGTCTTTAATTTCCCATACCTCAGTGAGAAGCTTGCGTGACATGACAAAATTCCAGTTAAAATGTAGAGAGCACCTTCTTATTTCATTCTCTTAGTTATCTACAATTGCTTTAAATGCCCTCATATTCTTGTAAGAAGAAATAGAAATATTGTGGTACCCTTAGGAAACAGGCCATTTAGATTGTCTACTTTCAATTTTTATAAAGTAGGCAGTCATACATATTTATTATTATTTAAGAATCAATCTACTTCAGCTGTCTCCTCAGTATGTATTGCATAATACAATGCTTTGAAAGAGAGATTTCTCATCCAGCTTGTTGGGGTGTATAGTCTTTTAGATAGAAACAACCAGCAAATACTCCAACTGTCTTGTTGTAGGCATCCTTTCTCTGTGTGATGAGTATTCACAGTGAGAAATAAGATGTGCTAGTGGCTAACCACACTTGAAACTGGTGTATTTCTTGCAGCCTTTGGTGATTTCCTAACCTACCTACAAAATTAGTCTAAATGCTGAAAAGTGTTGTTTTCTCAAGAATTATTTCATAGATTATTTTTCTTCTCTGAAATACATTTTAGAATTTGAAAAGAAAGTGGTTTCTACCAGAATCACCACCAAGACTCTTAAACTTTGTCCTGGGTTGACAAAGAAGTGAGTTTTCTTGGGAAGTTAATAGTCAAACCAATCAGTGGTCAGATTTGAATATTGACACCTGGTGTGACCACTGAAGGCATTGGACACACCTCTGAGAACACAGGGGTTTAAAAGCAAAGAACTCCAGAGGAACTTTTTCTTTTGCTGCGGTCAGTGAAGAGTTCAGACTTCTCCTGCCCAGCCACGGACGGACTGGGTGCGGGAGGGGAAGCCATGCGGCCTGGAGAGGTAGGCCAGGGTGTGAAGGGACTGGAACTGGGTCGGCCCCTGCAGGACCGAAGGGTGGAAAAAACTGAGATGTCTTTGTTCCCCCTCCCAGAGGGAGAGAGAGAGACAGAGAGCCTGTGCCACCTGGAAATTTGATATCGTGTGCCGGCAGTACACTGGCAGAGGAGAAAGGGGAGGGGGAAGGTGCAAGCCATGGGAGTCCTGGGCAACCTGCCGCAAATTTCAGTCGTCCTGGGAACCCGAGACTTTTAACCCTGTCTTAGGCAAAGAAAGCTTTGTGAAACACTACTCCTCTGCAATTTGAAAGAGAAGAGATAGTCTGGGACCTGAGATGTCAGTAGAAGACGGAAAAAAAATCCTAGGTGGGAGGAGATGATGGAGTGGCCTTTGGCTGGACTTTTCTTGTATAGCTATAGACTGAACTGGTTCTCCCCAAAACAGAGACTACATTTAGGGGGATGCAATGGTTTGAGCCAAGAGAGTGACCTGCTGCAGTGATTGCCAGTGCAGGAGTGGGGGTGACCTGCTGCAGTGACTGCCAGGGCAGGAGTGGGGGTGACCTGCTGCAGTGACTGCCAGGGCAGGAGAGAGTGACCTGTTGCAGTGACGCCATTTGCAGGAGTGGACTGTACAGAGAAAGATTGGGAGGGTGTGGTGGTGCCCTCTGTCTTCAGGGAAGAAGAAAATCTCTGTTCTCAAGACCCTTGGCCCCAGGGAAGGAGAAAATGGGGGAGACTGTTGTCCCAAAATGAGAAACTGTTCTTTGGTCCTTGATGAAGCATCCTTAAAGGAACCCTGTGAGCAGTCTTGGTCCATGCATGGTGCTGAGAGCAGTGCATATGGAAGGAGGATGTCACACTGGCAAATTTTCTCCGGCGGTTGTCATGTGTGACATGGAAACTTAAGAGGTTTCAACTGTGTTTCCTGTGGAGGACTATGGTACAAGAGAGACTCCTCTTTCCATGTATGAACTGAGAATTGATTGAGTGGTGGTAACTTGATCGAGGGTCCAAGGTTTTGTCTCACTGTGTTTTGGTGGAAATTGGGTAGGGGGAAGGAGGCATGTTTTTAAGAGTTTTCATTCTGTTTTCCTGATGCCGTGCCTCGGTCACAGGAGAAGGGGGTGGCACAGGCTGCCAGCTAGCTCCCACCCACTCTCCCCTAGGCACAAGCCACAAGCGGCCGCTCCCCGCCTCAGCCACCAGCAGGCACAGGGCGGTGGTTCGGCCGCCGGCTGTGGTCCCTTACCGACAGAAGCAGCCGATAAGAGTGGACCCATGTAGAAGGATCGAGGCAAAGGAAAAAGGGAAGGACCCTTGCTTGCATCTCCAAGCAGTCTTTATTTCTCCCTGCGCTGGGAGCAGCACAGGTGACACAGTGTAACAACTTGAAGTAAAGGCAGAGGCAAAAGGATGTGAAGTGGAGAAAAAGGGTGACTTTTAAATGGGGCCTGTCCCCAGGGGGGAGACAGACTAAAAACAAATCAAGGTCTAGATAGCAGGAGTATGGGGTGCATATATGTAAACATAAAACAGATAGGGAAGGGGAAGGGGAGAGTGCATACTTAATATACCAATGAGTGACAATGAAGCTTCTAGATAAATGGGTGTAGCAAATAATGACACACAAGCTGCAGGGGCAGGATTTGGAAAATGGACAGGGAAGGATCTGGAAATAAGGGAAGTATATACCATGGCTGACATGGGGAAAAGCAGGAAAACAGGTGTGTCAAACCATGACAAGGTGGAAAACAACTTTGGGGAGAGACTATTAGGAAAACTGAACAGGGGTGAATATGGACAAACCATTGCAATATTTTAAACAATTTCTTAAGCAAATAAACTTCAAAATCCCACTACCACATTTTTCTGTGTGTTCCTTTTACCATAGTGTAGGTTAATAAAGTTTTTTTCTTTATTTCTAAGCCTACGAGCCTGCTCTGCTCAGTTTCTGGTCACATCTCACAGCACTCATTTGAGAAAAATATATGTTCATGGGTGCACTGGCATTGCACCAGTGCCAACCCATGACAAGTTTCAGGTCATAAAGCTAGAGTGAAGCAGGCAAACAATTAACCATTGTAGTTCATAATTGTGCTTATATGCAAAAAGGATGTTTACATTTTACATTAAAATATTTCTGACTATTATAGCCACTGGAAAACCAGAAGGATTCGGTGGATGAGCAGCACTGGCCAGAAACACAGCCAGTAATCTGGCAGAATGAAGAAAGAAGGAGAAGTAAACAAATTAGAAAAGAGTATTTCAAGGTAATAGGGCGAGTGAGGGTGGGTGACACTTCTTTTAATAAGAGTAGAAGAAACTGTAAAACGAAGTAAAGGTAGATACTCAAAGGTTGTGATGCTCAAAGGTTGCTTTTAAATTTGCATGTAATATATAATTTTTTATTTTACTCTTTTGATGAATATTTATATGTATGTATTTAGGATTTGAGAGTGCAGGAAAATCAAGAGAAAAAAATGGATAAAAGATTTTGTTTATCCTTCATATAAAAGAAAGTAATTAATTATTGTTTTCTGGCAAAACCAAAACCAAATCTTGTCATTGGTCCTTCACCACCTATTTGGAGGGGTTTTTATTTAGTTAGTTATGTACTTATTTTTAGTGCCAAGAAAAGATACATTGCCTTTTTTTTTGCAGCATGGTTCTATGAGTGATTTATGCCTTTTTGATCTCATGGCAGTAGTTTTCATTTCAGAAGGAATATTTTCAGTGTTCCCTTGCTGCTGTAGCGTGCACCCTCAGTCAGCAGGTGCCAGTGTCTGCTTTCTGCAGAACAGAGGGGAAGCTCTAGCAGCAGTTTGTTTTGGGCTAAGTAGAAAAATAGGAGGGCTCTGAGCAGTGCTAGGTTGAATTAGAATTAAATTTGTCACTTAAGAAATAAGTTTCTTGGGTCTTCGCCATCAAACATCTCTGTGAAATGCCAGGGAACGTCAAAGAAATTAAATTCTTGGGAGAATGGAGCATGCCATGCATCTCAGATATATTGTTGTGATTACAGAAGCTATTTTTTTTTTCCTGAAGGGATTATGGAATTGTATCCTCTTTTCAGGGTTTTCATCCTGAAATTAATTTTTTACTGTGGCATTGAAGAAGAGAGAGAGAGAAACTTCTCAGTAAAACAGAATTCAGTTGTTTGGCTGGTTAAAGAGCTGTGCTACCAGTACAGAAGTGGTTCCTCATAACTTACCGGTCAGTTGTGAACTCTATGATGGAAGCAGATGCCTGAAATCACATTACATACAGCTCTAGATGGGTCTCCTAAGTGAATTAAACAGCCTGTACCAGTAACAAATGGCACTGTTTGATACTTTCATTTGCAAAAGCAAGGCAATAAGCCACTGAAACAGAGACTGTTTGCCTTGGCAAACTGGGGAGAAAAAATAAGTACCAGTGCTGTTGTGTGAAACCAGTGACAATACAGTTGTCTCTTGCTTAGCTGGCATTTGTGTCACATCATGAAGAGTAGTAGCCTGGCCACATACACCCCACAAACTTAGACTTTTGTAGTGATGATATTTTTAATTCGATGTGCATGGGGTTTCTCTACTTTTTAGTACACTTGATCTGTAGACAATGAAATACATTTATTTTTAAAATACCACTTTTGTAAATTTTCTCCTTCAATTCCTCCTTAATTTTCTCCACTTTCTGCTGTTGGAATCTGAGGTATTGATGATTCCGAAATTGTAAAAAGTCTCTGTCTTTCTGCTCCGTTGCCAAAGAAGAAACCATAATTCATCTGTGGTGGTTTTCAAGGCTGTTTATTCTTGCTTATCTATAACATGTTCTGTCTGACCTGCCGCAGCTCTGTCCTGCAGGGCAGCGTGTGGGGCTCTGCCCTCAGTGGGATGGTACAAACATTATATACCAGAAACTACCTGTGCTGGATTTACAATAACGTGCCAATATCTATCATCCCCAGCCTAAACCAACAGAAAAATGCCAACACTACAGTGAAACATGGAGGGCATGAAGAAGGAGAAAAAGGACAAGACACACCCAATTTCCTCCATCTTGTCCCCTTTGAACCCCTAATCTAGAATCCTAAAATTTTACTTTTGCACCCGTGCCACACTTAATTCTTACTTATATCAAACACTCAGAGCTTGTAATTCATCCTGTAAGATTGAAAACTCTTTTCCACGGACAGAGATCACAGACAGTGTCTCTGGGGGCTCTGTCCAGGGGGTTCCTGACCCCTGCCAGGGTCCCAGACCTTCCAGGGCAGCCAGAGGGAAGCCCTGGATTCCCACATTCTGTATAATGTGAAGGGAAGTGGGGCAGTGATGAAGGCAACACACAACAAATGAGAAAGACCTGTGGGTAAAGCACTGTCTTAAATACATAAAAGGATGTGATCAGACTTTGAAGTTTTAAAGGCAACCTTAATATTTTTAATTTAATTTTTTGCAATGTCAAGTCAATCTCCTGAAGTGTAAGGTCACATAAAATATATTACAAAAGCAGCTTTCACAGATTGCATAATTTTTTCTAAGAAATAATGCTTCATGTTAGCTGTTGTTAAGATCTTTTCACTTAGATCAGCTATCACATGCAGAGTTTACATTATAAAATTGTTTAGTTTTAAAATGCACTTACCTCTTCAACTAACAAAGATCTTGTCTAGCCTAGAAATATCATGCTCTTTTCTGGTTTGTTTCTTTTTGTTCCTTTGTTTCTGTAATATGCCTTTTTTTCCTCAGCAGCTTCATTAGTAATAAGTGACATCTGAGTGAAAGTAAGCCTTTTAGTTCAAATGAAAACCATGCTTTCATTTTAAAGTAATAATTTTGTGTGTTTTGCAGTATAAGTCTTCCAGAAAGAGTTCAAGTGGAAATGAAAATGATGAGGTGAGATGTAGTAGTTGTGTGAAATATTAAGAACTTAAGTTTATTCTCTTGTCTTTTTTGAACAAATTAACTTTGCATTCCAAAGCCATAGCAGAAATAACTATTATACTCCTTTATTTGAAAAAAAAAAATAAAAAATTCATGATTTCCTGCTGTGGAACAATAAGATGTTCGCTTGCTTTGGTAATAGCAAAATTAATCCACCTATCAAGCAGAGGTGATGTAAAACTAATATTTGATATAAAGAGCTAACAGTGGTTCCTTTCCTTATATATTTTAAATTTAGTTGTTGCCAGTTTGTAGCATACTTGACAAATGTTACATGTCTCATGGATTTCATAATTTCATATTTCTTGTTAAAGCATAATTTTCATTTTTATAATTTCATCTCTTTGATTTCTTTTTAGCAAGACAGTGATAATATTAATGTGTCCCCACAGTCTCCTGTGTCATCTGAGGTACAAATTTGTGGGTTTGTTTTTCATTCAGCAAATATTTCTTTGTGTTCATTGTTGTCACCAGGTTTTCATGCAGATACTAAGCTGTTAGTTTCCTTTACAATTAGAAGTATTTAATCATAATAAAAATTCAAAAAGAGAAACTAGAGACAGATACTACAGCTTGTTTTACCTTTGCAACTCTGGTCTCCCCTAGAGTTCTTTTTGACTGGTGTGAGGAAAGGTGCATTTCTTCGTCTTCATTATCTTTCCTGATGAAAATACTAATGAAACAAAAATCAAATTTGCCATATTTGATAGGCCTTCCTAAGGAAGACTGCTCTTCAGGGCACATAGTCATTGAGAGGATTTGAAGTTTATGGTTTAGTACTTTATACATCACCAGGAACCCAAAAGTGCTGACATTTCTCAAGGAGTTTCATCCTTCTCAATCCTGGGTGTCACCTTTGTGGTGCAGCCTTCCAGCTTCACTCAGGGGTGGCTGTGCCTGAAGTCTCACTGCTTAGCTCAAAATAAAGCAAATATTAACATTTCTGCCTCGTGTCAGTAAGCAGTCTGAGAGAGAAGAATTAAAACATCCCCCTGAATACCCTGGAATGAAACAAGGATATTTCTTGTACATAGCAAGATACTGAGTTCATTTCTCTTTTCAGATCGTGAAATGAGAAAAACCTGGTCTTCATAGTTAGAAGTAGATATTTCTCAAGAAATATTTTGATGCTAAACATTGGGAGAATATTTGCATTTTCATTGGCTTACAGCTGGCTTAAACTCTGTTCACAGAATGTTTTGCAGTAGTTTGAAATATTCTGCAATACATTTTAGGCAATCTGGTGCTGCTTTTCTTTGTCATTATGATAGTTTTATCTATATGTAGCAAGGTTATGTTAATTCCATTTATTTTGTATTGTCTTCTTCAAGAGACTTTTACAGTTAAGCAGAAGGACTCTCCTTAGGCAAGAATAACTTAAACAGTGTCTTGATGGGAACAAAAGTTACTTCTTTTAATGAGTGGAAGAAAACTGACCTCATCTCTTTTAACAGGATTATGAAAGGATAGATAGTAACACTCATGGTCCATTTGGTCTCAAGCCAAGATCAGGTAAGCTGCTGTTCTCTAACACAGTGTGTTTATTTGCCAGGCTGCAAGAGGCAGTAAGCATAGCAGACGTCACAGTACAGCCCTCAATTTACTTATCGCTGCAGAGTACCGGGGAAGGCACAGACAGCTGCTTTGACAAACAAATAATTGGAAGCTCCTCAAGTTGTAGAGTGATTTGTTTGGGGTTTTTTAGGGAGTTGTTTTTCCCACTTCTTTATATTGTGCATACTTAGTCATTGTCAAAGGACAGGGAAACAGTACACAATTGCTCTTAAGGTTTGATGGCTTAAAGGCTTTATACTTAATTAAAAGTAAAAGACAATGCAGATACTTTCAAAGCTAGACTGATATTCTTGAAGAAGTGCAGATAGGGTTGTATGTCTCATATTGATAGTTCATTATTTAAGCCAGTTCAGTCTCCATGCTTTCTAATTATCCATTTACACTTGAGTAAGATGATCTCTGCATTTTATTTGAAGATGTTTCATAGGCAGCATCTTGTCTTGCAGGATGCTTAAATATATTTGTTTTTCAAAGTTCTGCAGATTTTTTCCTGTTTTTATCCTCAATTATAGATCTTCAGTTTTTGAATGTTTTCGATCTGAATTCTGACTGACTTCCCTCATGTTTGACAGCTTTCAGCCGTGCCTCACGCCAGGACTATGGTGCAGTGGATCCTGGGTTTACTATGAGGAGGAAGATGGAACATTTAAGGGAAGAAAGGGAACAAATCAGACAGCTTCGCAGTGTAGGTACCATTGTGCAGTGCATTTGGTTTGCTCTGTTCCACAATTTAAATCTTCATTTTAAAGGCCTCCAAGTTGTTGCAGTTGTAAAAGGGCATCCCTGTAGTGGTGTTTCTTCCTAAGAAATTTCATGTAACAGGCCTCACTGGTACTTGTTTGGGTCCAACCAAAATACCGACTGGGAACTAGCTGGGGTTGTTTTCTTTCTAAAAAACAGAGTGAAATGAATTTTTTTTTTTCCTGAGGTTTTAAATTTTCTAGGGAAGCAGTAAATCTGCTTGTGTTTGCTATTGTTTGACCTGAGATCTGAAGAAAAATTATTGTTTTTTAAATGGCCAGATGCTTTTTGAGTGTACACAGATGCTACAAATGTCATGATCCTGAATAGGATCTACATTTTGGATTTCCAGTAAATTGTCTTTTGTCCAGTTCTGTTTTCAAGGCTTTTAGCAGTTAGAGTTAACTAAATGTCCTGGTTTAGGGCAAATTTGGGAGAAAACCTCCGGAAGGAGCCCCTGGAAAGCAAACCCCCATGGCCCCCCCCCTCCATCTGGTTTGGAAAAAATTTCCTCCCAGAGAAGTGGGAAAAAACCTGTTTATTTAACAAGCAAAACACTCCCCAGCACCAAAAAAAAAAACAAAAAAAAAAAAACCATCACCAGATGACAAAAACCCTTTCACCACTCTGAAGAGATGACAAATTCAGAAAGTGTCTTCCGGGCGTGGTCACCCAGTTCTTGGTCTCTGACACTGGGAATGGCTGCTGCAGATCACCAAATGCAGGCTCTCAGTGTTTCTTGGTGTTTCCCAGATCCCAGTACGGAGCAGGTTGGAATGATATTCAGGAAAGGGAAAGGAAAAACAACAGTCCAAGGAAAAGAATTGGACAGCTTAGTTAAACTAACTAATAAGACTAACTAATAAGCACAGGCAGAAGCAGGAGCAAGAGCAAGCAAGCAAGCAAAGCAAGCCAGCCAGCACTAGCCTCTCCTAGACAACAGACCATGTGGGGAGGTGAACCAGCTGATAACAAGACAAAACAAACCTTCACTTTCAGAGTCAGTTCTGAAAGCACAGAACATAATATCAAACATAAACAGCACACACAACTGGGGATACCAGCACCATAATATCACCCTAGGACATTCCACCCCTTATTTCCATATCGTCAACATACTACTAAATATCATGTAAAAACTTCAAGTGAAAACTTCCATCTTTCACTCCCTCTGACACAATTCCTTCCATCTCACTTGCTCAAACCTTAGACACACATTTCCTTCTGTCTCATGTCTGTGTGCTTTCATGTACAGACAATGGCAGTAACATCCAGCAAACAGTGATATTTGCACATGAGTCTCACCCCACAATCACATCTCCCTCAGGTACACATTGTGTTGTTCCATCTCTGTGCATTATCTACCATGTACAACCAGTCCCTGAGCAAAGACAATCCCATGAATGGGTTTGTCTGTACCCAAGGCAGAATTAATTCACACTGCCTTCCCTAACAAACCTTTGACATGTGCCACTGGGACTTTATCTCCGTCTACTATATTCAGGGAATCAGACTGGGCAGGACCTGCTCGATTGGTGGAACCTCGACTGTTAGCTAACTAGGTGGCTTTTGCCAGATGCTGCTCCCAAGTTTTGAAATATCCCCCAGCCAATGCTTTCAAGGTGGTTTTTAACAGTCCATTGTACCTCTCCATTTTGCTTGCAGCTGGTGCATGGTAGGGGATATGGTACACCCACTCAATGCCATGTTCCCTAGCCCAGGTGTTGGTAAGGCTATTCTTGAAATGAGTCCAATTGTCTGACTCAATCCTCTCAGGGGTACCATGCCTCCAAAGGACCTGCTTTACAAGGCCCAGGATGGTGTTACAGGCTGTAGCATGAGACACAGTGGAGCTTTCCAACCATCCAGTGGTGGCTTCTACCATTGTGAGCACGTAGCGCTTGCCTTGGCATGTCTGGGGCAGTGTGATGTAGTCAATCTGCCAGGCCTCCCCATACTTGTACTTGGACCACCGCCCACCATACCATAGGGGCTTCACTCGCTTGGCCTGTTTGATGGCAGCACACATCTCACAGTCATGGATCACCTGAGAAATACTGTCCATGGTTAGATCCACCTCTCAGTCTCATGCCCACTTATAGGTGGCATCTCTGCCCTGATGGCCTGAGGCATCATGGGCCCATCAAGCTAGGAACAACTCTCCCTTGTGTTCCCAATCAAGGTCTATCTTTGACACCCCTATCTTTGCAGCCTGGTCTACCTGCTGATTGTTTTGCTGCTCTTCATTAGGTCTATTTCTGGGGACATGGGCATCTACTTGGCAAACCATCAAAGGTAGATTCTCTGCCTGGGTAGCAATATCTTCCCACTCTTCTGCAGCCCAAATTGGTTTTCCTCTACTCTGCCAGTTAGCCTCTTTCCACCTCTCCAGCCACCCCCACAGAGCATTGGCTACCATCCATGCATCAGTGTAGAGGTAGAGCTTTGGCCAATTGTCCCTTTCTGCAATGTCTAGGGCCACTTGAACGGCTTGGAGTTCAGTAAGTTGACTTGATCCACCTTCACCTTCGCTAGCTTGTGCAACCTGTCCTGTAAGACTCCATACAGCTGCTTTCCACTTCAGATTCATACCTACGATGCAACAGGAACTGTCAGTGAATAGAGCCTAATGTGTTTCCTCTGCTGGCAGTTGGCTGTATGGTGCAGCTTCTTCAGCCCATGTCACTGGTTCTTCTTCTTCATCTGTGACACCAAAACTTTCATCTTCAGGCCAATTTGTAATTACTTCCAAAATCCCAGGGCGATTCAGCTTACCAGTATGGGCACGCTGTGTGATGAGAGCAATCCACTTGCTCCATGTGGCATTGGTGGCATGGTGGGTGGAGGGAACCTTTCCTCTGAACATCCTCCCCAGCACCAGTAGTTGGGGTGCCAGGAGGAGTTGTGCTTCTGTACCAATCACCTCTGAGGTGGCTTGGACTCCTTCGTAGGAGGCCAAGGTTTCATTCTCTGTTGAGGTGTAGTTAGCGTCAGACCCTCTGTAGCTCCGACTCCAAACTCCCAGTGGTCGGCCTCGAGTCTCATCAGGCACTTTCTCCCAAAGGCTCCAGGACAGACCATGGTTCCTGGGTACAGACTAGAGCACGTTCTTCACAGGTGGCCATCCTGACTGGGCCAATGGCTACTGCATGAGCCATTTCCTGTTTTATCTGGGCAAAAGCTTCTTGCTGCTCAGGTCCCCAATGGAAATACTTCTTCTTGCAAGTGACCAGGTAAAGATGGCTCTGTATGTTCGGACTGTACTCAGGAATGTGCATTCTCCAAAAACTTGTAGTGCCTTAGAAAGCTCGTGTCTCCTTCTTGTTGGTTGGTGGAGACATAGCTGTGATCTTGTTGCTGACATCTGTAGGAATCCGACACCGTCCATCTTGCCACTTCACTCCCAGGAGCTGGATCTCTCAAGCAGATCCCTTCACTTTACTCTTCTTGATGGCGAAACCAGCTTCCAGGAGGATTCTGATGACTTTCTCACCTTTCTCAAACACTTCTGCTGCTGTCTTCCCCCACACAATGATATCATCAATATATTGTAGATGTTCTGGAGCCTCACCCTTTTCTAGTGCAGTCTGGATCAGTCCATGGCAGATGGTGGGGCTGTGTTTCCACCCCCGGGGCAGTCGGTTCCAGGTATACTGCACTCCCCTCCACGTAAAGGCAAACTGAGGCCTGCATTCTGCTGCCAGAGGAATGGAGAAAAATGCATTGTGGTGTACCACTTTGCTGCCTTGGACTCCAGCTTGTACTGGAGTTCCGGCCTGTCTGGCACAGCAGCGCTCAATGGTGGAGTCACTTCATTCAATGCACGGTAGTCCACTGTCAATCTCCATTCTCCTTCAGATTTACTCACAGGCCAAATGGGGCTGTTGAAGGGTGAGTGGGTTTTGATGACCACCCCTTGCCTCTCCAGCTCTCGGATCTTCTTATGGATGGGAACCACAGCATCTCCAGTTGTTCTATACTGTCGGTGATGAACTGTTGAAGTGGCAATTGGTACCTGTTGCTCTTCTCCCTTCAGAAGTCCTACTCTACATGGATTCTTAGACACTCCAGGCAAGGCGTTCAATTGCCGGATGCCCTCTGTCACTACAGCTGCTATCCCAAATGCCTACCTGAGTGTTTTTTTGGGTCTTTCAAATACCCCCTTCAGAGGTCATCTAGGCCCAACATGCATGGGGCCTCTGGGCCAGTCACAATAGGTTGTTTTTTCCACTAATTTCCCGTCAGACTTACATCATCTTCCACCAAGGGAAATTCTTGTGATCCACCTGTCACACCAGCAATAGAGACAGATTCTGCCCCTATGTGTCTCGATGGGACTAATGTGCATTGTGCACCAGTATCGACCAAAGCCTTATATTTTTGTGGTTCCAATGTGCCAGGCCAATGCATCCACACAGTCCAGAAAACACGTTTTTCCCTTGCCTCTACCTGGCAAGAAGCAGGGCCCCTCTAAGCCTGGTTATCCTTCTTGCCTTGGGCGTATGTCTTCGAGGTTCCTTCAAGGGGATCAGACATATCATCATCATCATCATACCTGGCAGTTTGGCTACAGGCAACTGGAACTGCTCTCCTTTTGGTGGAACTTCCTCTGTGAATCTTGCCTTCCTTCAATTCATGCACCCCTTGTGCCAGAGCAGCAGTAGATTTTCCGTCCCATCTCCTCATGTTTTCGCCGCAATCATGCAGGAAGAACCACTGCTCAGCTTGTGGGTTGTACCTGTGGATATTCTCAGTTCAGTCAGAGACAAAACGAAGGTTTCTAACCAGGCAGACGCCTGGGAAACAGTTGAGAAAGAATGTAAATAATTCTTTACCTCTATTGTTGTTCACATCTTTTATAGATAAGTTCTGCCACTGTGCGTCATTCACTGCACACCAATGGTGTGAGACATTTTTACTTTAGGACCAATAGAATGGGTCTGCATGATACTCTCTATAAAAGAGAGATGTATTTGAAATAAATCAGAGTTCTAATCTCAGCCTTCTGAATTGGAGTTCTTTCATACCGTCCTGCCTCAACAGTGTCATGTACCTTCTCTCCCTATCTGGGGAATGTCTACATTGGATACCAGAACCTCTGATCTTAACTGCTGAGATTTGGAGAAGGTCTTCTTTAATTTCCTCCCGTAGTCTCTCATTATTCTCCTTTATCTTGTCTTCTATTTTCTGCAGACATGTTTCCACTGCTGCAATTCTGGCATGTGTTGGGCCATGTACGGCAACTGCATATGCTCGGAGCTTCTTCGCCATATCAAGCACAGTCTCATCCCTCTCATCCCGCTTCATTATTGCTAAAGCAGAAGTGTATTCATGTGGCCCAAGCCGTACAAGTTTTTTCCACATCACTGATGTACATGGTACCAAGTCTGGATTCCTAGTTGTTATTTCATTTGAGAAGATAATCCCTGCCACTGCCATTACTCTCAGGCGTTGGATCCCTTTGAGTCTGCTGCATATAAAGATCATCTGCACACAGGTATCTTTGTGCTACACTTTCCAGAACCCATGCCCGGAGGCTGTGAGGTTTAGCCCCCCTCATCATTCCTTGATCAATGACAGGATCATGTGACAGGGATCCCAAATGTCTCGCTTCAGTGCCATCCAGAATTGTAGCCTCGCCTGCAGCATCCCAAAGACGGACCAAAGGACTAATTACAGACTCATCAGGTCGTCGATTGTAATCCTTTATGAGTCCATGAAGGTCCCTTAGGGAAAAGGACTCAGTATTGGCCTCTGACCTTGTACAAGTTGCTTTGACTCCTGATTTCATGTCAGCAGGTGTTGAGGGTCCTTCTCCTGCATTATCATCATCATTGTCATCCACTGGTCAATCGGTCTTTTCTGTGCACTTTCCACTTCTCCTGCTAGTAGCAACAGCCATTGGTTAAGGCTTACAGTCTGGTTTAGCTGCTAGCTTAGGCTCACTGTCTGGTTTAGCTGCTAGCTTCGAGCCTGGGGTGTTGGCTGCAGCCTGAGTGACTGGGCTAGCTGCTGATTTATCTCCCTGCCCCCCTTCCTCTGTCTGCTGCCCTACAGTATCTAGCAGGGTGCGATGAGCATGTGCCAGGGCCCAGCTCACTGCAATGATCTTTTTCTCCTTAGAGTTATCATGGCACTTCTCTTTCAGGTACTTTGGCACCTCAGCTGGATTCTGAATTTATTCACATGGAAAGTCCCAGGCTATAGGGTCAGAAAATCCCTTTCAGATATGGCCCATATCCTCCCATTTCCCACACCACTCAGGATTTCCCACACCTAGCTCTACTCCTGGGTCAGGGGTCTCATCAGCCCCTCTAGAAATCTCAGCCCTCATTCTAGAGAGACTGCAGACTGTATAGAGAAAGCTTACCAGATTAAACACCAGAAAGATGGTCTCTTTAATAGTCAGGGGAAACTGAACATTCTCTAATAGGGAGGTAAGAGATTCAGAGGAGAAGAAGGAAAGCAAAGGCTGAAAAGCTTCATCTCCTCCCCCTCATCCCCTGCTTCTCCTCTAACAAACTGGCTGCACAACCATGACTATGAGCCATGCATTCCTGGAACAGACTTCAGCACCTTTATCAACCCACTGCAAGCCATTACACCCAAGCCCAGCCCAATGGATATTCTGGTCAGTGCCCTTCTACTGCAAAAACTACCTATTAAGGACAATACCAGAGCTATTCCTGAATAAGAAAATAAACCTAGGGACCATAGAGGGATAAAGATCTCAAAAAACCCTAGGGACCAGAAACACATGCAGGCCTCCACCCGAAGAGACACTATGAATTCAAACAACATAGCCAGTAACTGCTCTATACCAACACAAAGTAATTGGAACCAAAATATGATTACAACAGGTTTTTTTCCACTCTCCCAAGCCACGAGTTGGGCACCAAAATATTTGTCCTAGTTTAGGGCAAATTTGTGAGAAAACCTCCGGAAGGAGCCCCCGGAAAGCAAACCCCCATGTCCCCTTCCCGCCACCTGGTTCGGGAAGAATTTCTCCAGAGAGAAGTGGTAAAAAAACCTGTTTATTTGACAAGCAAACACTCCCCAGCACTAAAAATAAAAAAAAAATTAACAACACCAGATGACAAAAACTCTTTCACCACTCTGAAGAGATGACAAATTTAGAAAGTGTCTTCCGGGCGTGGTCGCCCAGTTCTCGGTCTCCGACACTGGCGATGGCTGCTGCAGATCAAAAAAATGCAGGCTTCTGGTGTTCCTCGGTGTTTCCCAGGTCCCAGTCCGGAGCAGGTTGGAATGATATTCAGGAAAGGGAAAGGAAAAAAAAACAGTCCAGGGAAAAAAATTGGACTGCTTAGTTAAACTAACTAAAAAGGGCAAGCAAAGCAAGCCTGCAAGCACTAACCTCTCCTAGACAACAGACCAGAAGGTGAGCGGGCTGATAACAAGACAAAACAAACCTTCACTTTCAGAGTCAGTTCTGAAAGCACAGAACATAATATCAAACATAAACAGAACACATGATTGGGGATACAAGCACCATAATGTCACCCTAGGACACTAAATCATAGCTGCTTTGCTTTTTTGAGGGCAGTGCTGATTTGTGGTTTGCCTTCTATGAAGGGTGTTTGTTTGTCTGGTTCCCTTCCTGAGCAGTGGAATCTTGTTGTTGGAGTGGGAAAAACCATTGTTTGCCTTCTCTGTTTTGCAACACAAGAGTGGGCCCTTGGCCACTAGAGCTTAACTTTTATCTGTACAAGTGAAATAGCCTTTCCCACATTCATGTTCCCTTATTTTTATTTTCCTCCTTCTCATAAAATCCTGTATGGTTTCAACTCACAGATTCTGCCCACTAAGCACTGATCACATATTCAGCACAACACTGTCCTTAAGTTCTGTACTTTCTGTTATGAGCAGTGAGTTTTTTGTATGGGCTTGAGAGCTGTGTATTCTGGTCATTTTTGGCAGAAAAGACATTTCTCAATGTATGTTGTTGTGCCATTAAAAAAAAAAAAACCCACAAAATAACAAAATGCAAGAAAAACCCAACAAATACAAACAAAAGAAACACAGGGCCTCTTAGGAGACAAGGATGTTTATACTGAGTAAAGCATAAATTTATTATGTTTATTTCACTTTAGTATTTAAGTGTTCCTTTTAAACATCTACATGCTTTAAAATACCCTGCTTTTTAAATGGAAAACTAGCTAATGTTGAGAGTAACTTACTTATGGCCTTTTTCCTAGAATCTTGAATCCAGGTTGAAGGTAATTTTGCCAGATGACATTGGAGCAGCGTTGATGGATGGGGTGGTTCTTTGCCATTTAGCCAATCACATAAGGCCACGTTCTGTTGCCAGCATTCACGTCCCATCGCCAGCAGTGGTAAGGCATAAATAATTTATTTTGTTTTTGGTATATCTTACATGAAAATAAGCTTTTGAATTTCAATATTAAACATTGTGACTCATGTTTACCGCATTGATTTGCTACATTACTCACTTTGGTTTTTCATGGAAGAAGCATTAAAGAAGCTCAGAAGTTCAGTTTAAGAGCTATTTTCCTCATGAAGACTCCTATGAGTCTTCATAGAATGTGTCTTGTGTTTTAGTAACTGTTAGTGAATTTACATCAGAAATACAAACTCCTTCATGAATGCCTGATGAAGATCTAATATCCTGTCTTCACAGCCTAAACTCAGCATGGCAAAGTGCCGAAGAAATGTTGAAAACTTTCTTGATGCTTGTAAAAAATTGGGCATTCCACAGGTACACTAATTGCTTTATTGATTTGTTAATAACCACAGAAAACATTAGCAAATACTGAGTTTGGAGGGTTGGGGGAGAGTTATTATGACAAATGATTGACAGTAGGGAGCAATAGTGATTATGACACTGACCAGAGAGCTGATGGTCTGAAGAGAAATTACATTCCAGGCTTATGGGGTGAACTTGAGGAAGCTACTTTATGGGTTTCTAGTCAGTTCTTAATAGTAAAACTAGTACTGACCTCCTTGTAGTGTATATTGTCATCTAAACAAAGGAATGGACTTGAGAGGGTAATGTTTTATTACTTGAAAGTCTTGAGTTTAGTAACTCATTTTGGTATCAATTCAGCCTGCCTAGGAAATATCCTACATTTACAGAAGTCTGTAGCCTGAATGATTGGCTGTCTTTTTTAGCATGGCTGTAGCTGCAGCCTATTACTTGTGCTTCTGTTGCCCAAGTGTATCCTCTTACCTCCTTTTATGAGGGAAAAAAAAAACTTTAAAAATAAGTAATTTCCTGCATATTATGAGACAAAAAATTCCCTTGATCTTCTTTAGTGCAAGAAGAAAATTAGTTGATAGATTTAGAAGCTGGTTTACTGTCTCACGTGGAGCCACCGGCCATGCAGAAGCTAGAGGTGCTGAAATTTACGTTGTGTATTACTTGTAACACCAGCTGGCAGTTGGGAAGATTGTCCAGCTTCTGCTGAATTTTGAGATTGAATGATGACTTTCTTGGAGAATCATTCATTATTGAGTTTATTAGCAATTTTAAGTTATCCCAGGGGAAAGATTGTTAATAAAGTGGCAAAACAAGGGAAGGGGAGAAGAAGGCCACTGAGCCAACAGCACCCACCAGCTTGTTTTTCTGACTCTGCTTATGAAAAGAAAGTCCTTTACTTTAAAAATTTAGCACTCTTTTATATGTCTTCTGACATTGTCATAGTTTAACACTTCAAACAGATTATAACAAGTTTCTGCCCATTCTGTTGTTGTAGAGTACCACAGGGACATTTAAGGCCAAAGGTGTTTTCTCTGCAAGTGTCTTCCTGACGTGTATGTGGCTTCAGAGAATATGTTTGTTACCTGCCCTGGGGACAAAGGCATGGAACTGGTTAAATGTCCTGTGTTCTTTTGCAGGAGAGACTTTGCTTGCCTCATCACATTCTGGAGGAAAGGGGTCTGGTGAAGGTTGGCCTCACAGTTCAAGCTCTGCTTGAGTTGCCTGCATTGAAAGTATCTCAGCTTTCTTCCATGTGACACAACTTCTTGGCAGCTAGACAGCTTCCCATTTGCTCTGTTACAGATTTCTCTGAGGCACTTCAGCCACCTACATGGGAACACCCAAGCCATCAAAAACTAAAACCTGTCCAGATGATGTAGAGAGCCTTACTTTGGAGCTTTGTATGAAAACCTTGGAGTCAGTTCACTGTTAAAGAACATAACTATTTTTTTTCTTCTCTTTTGTAATTGGATGTATAAAGAGAATGTGGTAGCATCAGGTTCTCTTTCTAGTTAAGTTAAAACTGCCATTTAACATCTGAGTGTTAGAGTTAAATGCTAGATTTCTTTTTTTTTACATTGAAAATGTTGTATAAATTACTTTTGAAAGTACAAAGCACACCTCCCGTCACTTTAATTTTTTGAGTCAATCATTTGATTTAAAGATAAGTCAAAAATATAGCGATGGTATGATGGTAAAAATGATGATGATGATATGATGGTAAAAAATGAGCAACTGATCACTTGTAATTCCCTTTCACTCTCTGAAAGCTTAATATTTGTGTTCCTTGTTTTTTGCACTCCTGATTGTAACTTACGCACTTCTAACATTACCAGTATTGAGTCTGAGTGTCTGGTGATTACACAGAACAGGATACAATGAGAAAAGGACACAGATTATTGAGTTTTCCCAGTCTTCTAGGTTGGTGCCAGATTTTTTTTTTCAGTTGTACTGTAGATTGTTTACCTGTGAAGTGCCTGTGTAATTGATAACTCTTAATAGTCGTAAACATTTTTGAAGTGTCTTTGTTTAAAATAGATAAAATAGAATTTTTTTAATATTTTAATAGTTTTTTTGTAAAATCAGTATGTGAAGATTTAAGAAATACTTCACGTTTTTGATGTTGGGTGTTTTAAGTTTGTTGCACAATTTAATTGTTGTCTAATAATTAGAAAATACTGTAAATACTTTTTATTTATGATATTTAATTTGATAATACTTAATTACTTTTGGTTTATTGTATTGTTGGACAAAAACAATGTTGTCTACTTTTCTTTGTTTTGGACAAACAAATACACATGATGAATAAGACAGGAGGACTAGTGATTCATACAGAGTAATTTAGGACATTTTGATAAAACTGCCAAAATCTCAGGTTTACACTGTGATGTTCAGGATTTTATGTAATATTGCTCCTGATCTCACTTGACATTTTTACAACAGATATATCCATAATTTAGCTGGGAATTATCAATGTTTATCTTTTTAGTGTTTGCAGGCTTTATTGTGTAATTTACATGAGCGTGGCATTAGCACACAGGTCACTTTGTACAAACATCACTGTGCTGAGAAATTGGATGGATAAATGTGAAAACAAAACATTTCCACTGTGTTGCTTCTGCACAAATTCTTGGTGTGTTGAGAATATTTTGAAACCATACATAGTTGAATTCTTCTCTAAACAAGTTGCAAATAATTTCATAATTTTGGTAGTAGATCTGTTTGTATTAGTTTGTTCTTCATGAATAGGTAGCTCAATTAAAAAAATGTTTTGACTGCCACAGATTTTTTATTTCAGGCTAAGTTATTTTCAGTTGAGGGATATGTTTGCCGGGCATGTGACAAGATTTGATTCTGTTCTTTCCAATTGACCAAGACCCTATGTAAGATAATTCATCAAAGAATGAGGAAAGAGTGTTGTCTGTTCCTTCTACTATAGTCCTTAAAGGCAATAGCTGATAGGAAAAATAACTTTTCTGATGATAAGTTTAAAAATACCACTTATTTTAAAAAACATTGAAATAACTTTGTGTTCATGTAATAGTTAAAATCCACTATTACTCATATAGTGTTGCCTTAAAACACAGCTTATGGAAAGGCTGGTGTATAAATTAATTTGCAAAGTCCTAGATATAAATCATAGGTTAGATAATCATAGGTTAGATAAATATGTGTTTAAAGAAACTGGATTGTTTTGACATTTGAAATACCGTATTTCAAATCTATCTCTAATTGGTTCTTGTATCTCTTCTAATTGTTATTTTAGCAACTTCAGTCTCTGTTTTCATTAATGGCACTATCTGAAAAGTCATGCAAAAACTAATGAAAAAGTTATAATTCATTTAGCAAAATGCTAGCCTGCTACATTTAGAAAATCCAGCCACTCAAAAAGAGTAAGTCTCTGTCTTTCATTTCACTGTTTTTGCTACTACCAGAGCTAAGTTCTAGTTCAGTGTTAGCCATGGAAGTGCTAACTATAAATTGTCACTTTGTTATCTGAAAACTGATCTCCACTGTTATTTCATTGTCATATTTAAAAACATTTTCTGATCTTAAGGTAACATTTTTCCTTCTTGAACTAATTTTATTAAGTTACATCGCAGTATAAACATTAAGAATTCTCTTGATGGAGCATGGCAGCTGCTGACTACTTAGGGGTTTTTCAAACTCCTTAGTAAGTTGAAAACTGGATATGAAACTTATGTACTAATTTTAAAATGAAATCTACTAAAAAAATATTTTTTTTTAGTACTCTGCAGTTCTTCCCCACAGACTTGCTACCAGCTGTCGTGCTTTGCCATTCCTTGGAAATTATTATGGCCACCTTCTTGCTCATGGGGAAGGATAGTCATGAGTCTTCCAAGGCTTCCCTTTTAGCATGGCAAAGATTAAAGCCTTCAAGTACCCTTAGGAGCAGTATGAGAAAAGACCCACTGTGCATGGATTAATCTTTTTCTCATCTCTTAACTTTTTACTACTAATAATAATAATTTAAAGCGTTACTAGCACTGGCTCGTACCCATTGTTATTTCTTTAACAGCAATTTCAAAAATGATACTAAAAAGATTTGAATTTTAAGTTTTCATTTCCAGGCCTTTGGAAATAGTTGTGTCTTCTCTGTTCAAGAATTTGCATATACTCTATTGCTTTTACCCTCTCCTTTTGATTCCCAGCATCTTATTTTTGTTCATTCTCAGATCTAGTGCATTCAGGCTGTTGGTTACTCTGGGCCACTTCCCATCTTCCTCCTGAATTTTTTAAAGGAATTGTTCCAGTGGTGCTGGTGAGCCATTGTGATTCCAGAATCCATTCTCCAAACATTTTCAGTGTTTGAGATATACATCTTCCATTTTGTTTAGGATTTGTTTAGTACTTAATACAGCTGATAGGGAAGGTAAAAACTGAGGCCTGCTCAGTTCCTGTTGCACTCATTCTGTTTTCACTTACAACATGAAGAAAAGTCAACATTAAAAGCTTTAGGAAGGTGCATTAAGTTTTCCTAATAAACTTTGCAATAATGGGGCATGAATTGTAAATTACAGAGTGGATCAGCATAGTGGCAGGGCTTCTGTTGTTGTGTATTTTTTTCTGTGTTTTGTGTCACTGGATGCAGTATGTTACATGTGACTGAACTTTCACTTGAGCAATAATGTCCCAGATATGGTGAGGTCTTACAGCAGTGACAGTAAAATAATCGTTGTGAAGTGTGGTGTCTTCCCAGAGAGGATCTCAGAAATGCTTTTCATCTGTTCTTCAGCACTGCTCACTGGGGCACTGCTGGGGATGCAGAAACCATCCAGACCCCTAACCTGGAGGATTTCCAAAATCTAACCAAGAACTATGAACATAAAATAGGGAGGAATGGATTTGAAACAATAAATAACTGACATGAATAATAAGATTTTTTTTTTTAATCCTAGGCTTTATTGAAGTCAAGGCAAGTTTTACCCTTGAATTCAGTAGATTTTTGCCTTTTCTATTTGTGGAGCATCTGAGCTGAAGACCGTAGCAAACATGGCTTAAACTTGTTTGACACTAGCAAACTTTAGTGGCAGATTCTTGACTAAAATAGTGACCTCTGGTAAGTCAAATGAAGTTGTAAAATGTTATGTGGATTCATTTAATAAAAATTTTCTGATAAGCCAAATAGTATTTAGATGGTAGGAAAAATTACATTGAAGTGGGATGGTGTTGTTACCTCAATAAAATTGTAGGTGATGACAACCATTAGGTTTTTACTGCACTAAAAACTTCATTTTAAATACCATATAATTTAGTGGCAGTCTCATCAGATTTTGATGTAAATCTGTAGCTAAATCAAAACAAAAATGAAGACATCTGTTTTCACTAACTTTCATATGTCATGTTGGTACTGAAGAGAAAGAGAGAGGGATGAAGGTCTGGCACTTCTTCCTTTTCCTGATTCCTTAAGTGTTTATTTGAAAGGCTGATTCCACTGATTTCAACTGAAAGCAACCTCTGTGAATTTTTAGCACTTCTGGAGATAGGAGATGTGGTTTGGTATTGACAAATCAAATGTCACTTCCCATACCAAATCAGGCTAATGTGTTTCTGTTAGAGGATCTCTACTTGAAAAGCCAAAGTAAATAAACGCACCCGAACATACAATTTGGAATTAAGAAAATGTCATTAAGACCAGCAATGGGAAAGGCAAAGTAGAGTTGTCCAAGCAGAGAGTGCTCTGAATTGATTTCACATTAAATCACTTCAGGAAAAGCCTTCAGTCTTAGTAAAGAAGTGTTTTGTAGCTGAGGGATGAGGATCCTGGAGTGTGTGGAGCTTTCAACAGAGCTTAGAACAACAAGGGATTTGCCATCTTTGTGTTCCCAGAGCCCATTTGGTTTGGATAACTCCGTCCCAGTGCTGCAGGAAGTGCTGCCCATGCCCAGCCCTGGGAAGGGGACCTGGCATGTGCCCCTTGTGATCCCCTGCCTTTGTACCAGTGAGGCTGTGCAGGACAACTGCTGACAAAAGCACCTCCTTGCTCTTAAAGAGATGCTGCAACCTGAGCAAAACCACCAAGTGATAATTTGAGAGTAATTGCTAATAGATACTCAGCAATATTTAACTTTCCCCGGCAGTGGTGATGTAGTGAGGCAGAGGACACTTTTGCTTGTAGGAGCTGCAGACCTTTTCTAAATGCAAATTGCACCATGGCTCTGAACTGGTTAATGTGGCCCTCTTGCACTTCCAGGAGGGAATGCAAACAGTAATGCTGGGTTTGTTCCATATGCCACACACTGGGTCATGTGTAATTCATTTACAGACTGACGGACAGGTGAACTGTCTGTTCTTAATGAGGTATGTTATGATACAGGTTTATTTTGGAAAATAATAACATAATTTTCTCTTTTCCTGTGAAGAATTCTGCTGATCTTCACTGCTTAAATAGAGAGTATATGTGATTAATTGAATTTTAGTTAAAACTTGCCACTGCACAGAAGCAGTTCTGGCTCCTGTGTTTGTTACATAATAAAATGCCCTTTGCTTGTTTTGTCTTTAAGTATTTTCACATAGTACAGTTTTGGCAACATACTGTCTTAAAATGGTGGTTATATGAAGTGTTTGTTCCCTCATTGGGTTTGACCATTATTTTTTCAGCATGAGAGGCAACGGGCAGCAAAATTTCTCCAAGACTGTTTGGTCAATTTTAGGGAAGGCACACCAGTTATCATAAAATTACATATAATCTATCATTTTTAGTTCAAATTATATATAGCCAATTACAATTTCAAAAAATAATTTTCAGAGTGTTTTTTACATTTTAGAATCCTAATCTTAAAACAAGCAAAAACCAAAAATTTTTTCCATGGCTACTCTAGTTTCTTAGAGAACTCTAAAGGAGAAGAACAGTTTGGACTGACAGCAATTTAATTGTTTTGGAAAAATTGTGATTTTGGCAGTGCTAAACTTGCAGTTGAACTTGATCCATTTAAAGTCTTTTCCAGCCTAAATAAGTCTATGATTGTAAGGCTTCAGTGAGATCAGAATTTCCCTCCAGAGTTTTGTAACTCAGTTACTGCATAAAGTCAGTAATTTAAAATACATTCTTGGCACTAAGGAGGGTTTCTTCACTTCATCCAAAGTTAAGTGAAATAAGGCAAACATAACTTTTTCCATCATGGTTTTATGAAGGCAGATTGTAAAATAGAGAATATTTGGAAATGCCACAAGGATACTTTTTTGCTTTCATTTAAAAATGAGTGAGCCAGTGAGATATTTCCAAAATGACTATATTTGTGTAGGGTTTGGTTGTGCCATACTTGGCATGGGAGCTTGCAGTAACTGTTCAGTATTTGTATTCTGAAGCTGTGCAGGACTGTGCTCTTCACATGGAGCTGCTGATGCAGTTGTGTTTGCTGAAGGGATGTGATACCTGAAGCAAATTCCTGCAGCCATGGGAGTTCCTGGCTGTAGCTGCTCTTGGCTGTGGCACCAGCAGCAAGGCAAAGCTGAAATTCCCAGGAGGAGCACACACAGGTGTAGTGAAAAAGGGTGGGTTGGTGGAATATATTGGGAGTAATGTGAATATTTTCTATTATTATGGAATGTCTAGAACAATGAAAATGTGATTGCTTTACAATTATCATTCAGTTGATATTCAGTTATTTTATTTTGTAATTTGTAGTTTTAAAACTCAGAAGATGCAATGTAACCAAATGGTCAACATGTAAATGTGTGCAGGATGTGGCAAAAGTAGTTCTGAGGACACAGGAAGAGAGTGATCATTTAAAATAGATGCTCAAATTGTGTACATACTTGCAAAGTTTTTGATAGTGCATTTAAATTGATTTTGCATTTCATGTTCTTGTAAAGTGCATCTTTCATACTTCTGAAGATTGTCTACTTGTACTATACTGTATTAAGCCTTTTTTCAGGATTTCCATTATTGCTCTAGCTTCCAACATACATGTTTCTTCCGAAAAATGTTCTTTTTTTTTTTTTTCTTTTTTTTTTTTTTTTTTTTTTTTGTAAATAGTGTTTTGTATTAAATTTGCATGGATAAACCCACGTTTCCAAAACCAGTGTACAGACGCTGTGTATAAAATATAAACTGTTTCATGATTTTCATGTAGTCAAGTTATTCAATTTGATTTCATTTCCATTTATATATTTGTAGTAAATAATGAGAATTTGTTGTATGTTCTCTCAAATGTCTGTGTTGTCATTTTGATAGAAAGTGACCTGCCTCATGTCGGGAAATACATCCTCTGACAAACAAAAGGAAAGCTAACTCCTGGTTCAGGGGTGTAGGACACATCCACATGTGAAATATGTTGGGATTTTGGTTTTGACCAGCAGTGGTGAGAATATACAAGGATCAATTTGCCCTCACTTGCAGCAATCTTTATATATTTACACACTTCCCTGTGAGAACCACTCAATGTCTTCTCACATATATTTGGAATAACATAGATTTTTGAGTCTTGCTAATGATAACCTTAAAGCAGCACAGAATTTCCTCTTGACAGAGGTCATCTGCTTCCCTTCTGTTCCCTGGGCTGGCTCTGGCAATAGCACAGATAATCTGTGTGGTTTGTAGTCATCATTTGCTTGATCTAGCATTAGGGAAACAGAACTGCTGTGTTTTGGAGCTGTAGTTAAGTTGGGTTATTCAAATGTAGGTTAACAGAGTGTTGTATATTACCAAATTTACTTTACCTTAATTTCTTTTAGATTATTTAAAGATGTAGACAATTCTATTCTTAGACCTGAGTATTGAAAACAAATACTCTCTTTTGAGAGATGTTTTTTCCCTGTGAGATCTTGTTCTGCATCTGCACACACCCAGCTGCTCTTTGTTTTCTGATTAGGCACATTGGGGACTGTAAAGCAGAAATTGAGGAGCAGTATTCTAAAGAAAGGAACACCATTCCTTTACAAAAGCATCTCAGCTGCTGGAACTTTTTTTGCAGTTACCAATGAGGGGTTTAGAGTTGAAATATTCTGTTGTTTAGTTTTCAGCTCTGAAGAAGACTTTCCTTTTATGAAAAGGCTTTTTAGATGTTCAAGGGCAATGACACCACCTGCAGAAGCCTCCGTTCTGAGCTGAACTCCATGAAATGCAGATCTGAGGAGGAGCAGCTGAGGGAGCTCGAGGGGCTCAGCCTGGAGAAAAGGAGGCTCAAGGGGGACATTATCACTCTCTATAGCACCTTGAAGGGAGGGTGGAGCCAGGTAGGGGTTGGTCTCTTCCCCCAGGTAACAAGTGACAGGATGAGAGGAAACGGCCTCAAGTTGTGCCAAGGGAGGGTTAGATTGAGTATTAGTAAAAAAATTCTTCTCTGAAAGGGGCAGGCATTGAATAGGCTGCCCAGGGCAGTGGTGGAATCACTGTATCTGGAAGTGGGCAAGAGCTGTGTGGATGTGGCACTGGGTAAAGGGTTTAATGGTGAGCTCAGTGGTGCTGAGCTAATGATTTAACTTTATGGTCTCAGGAGTCTTTTCCAACCCTAATGGTTCTACGATTCTAAGATGAAAGTTAACTCTGTCCCTGTTGAAACCAACACAATGACTTACTACCATTTTTATCTTCCATGAAACTATCAGAGCTAAACTTCCTACTCTTCAGCAGTCCAGTCATTTGTGTTACTTTCTCTCCTAATGCATTTCCAGATATCTTTCTTCTCCACAGTTAGTGGAGGCTGAAATCCTTTTGCAGCTTGAGTGATAAATACTGATATCTTCAGTGTAAATGTTAATTTTTCTTAGTAAGAATATGACGATTCAGATAGACAGGTATAAATTCATGAGTTGATGCTGTGTTGTTCATTTCATCCTCTCCCCTTCGATTTACAACATCTCCAGCTCTCAGAAAGAGAAGAAGGCAAAGAAACAGCCAACACAGTATTTCCTAGCAGAAGCTTCCAAGTGCATGAACTTCTGAAGAATACTTAATAAGACAAATCATCCCACACTCCCTGTATTCTCCAGGCCTCAAGAAACAGAATCAAAAGAAAGCAGGATTATCTCTGAAAACTCCCAGGGGTATAATTTAGAAATAGATAAGTAATATTGAATTCAGTTCCAAATAATGTTTCTGTGTAAGCTCTTCTCCTCCACAAACCACTGGGTGATGTGTCTAGCTTGCACTTTTCACTGTGTACTGAAATAGTGCATTCTGTTCTTCTCCAGTAAGGACAGTGATTATCTTGTAATTTTTGGCTCAAGCAACATAAACTTCTATTTCCCAGGAATATTAGTTTAAATGATGGCTATAATTTTTTTTTTCTGGTGAAATCATAGGGGATTTCCCAAAGTTTTCTTCCTCCTGTATATGCAACAGGATTACAAAAGAGATGTAGCAGATAGACCTCCCTCCCCTTCCCCGTGAATGAACCAAGATTTATTACTCAAGTGTTATTGCCCTTCTCTGAGCAGTGCCATGCTTGCTTTGATTATCAGTTTTTTGTATTGCCTGAATATGGCGTCATTGAGCCTTACTTGTGTATTGGAAACTTTGAAACCCCCATTCCCAATTTTTACTTTTGCTACTGGCTTAGAAACAGCTTTATCACACTGACTGACTCTTTCTGATAACTTGCATTAATATTTAATTCAAAGCACTTTCATTGTAAATTCAGGAGCTGTGTTTGATGCATAAATTGAAATGACAAACAGTTTATTTAGGAAAATACTTGATTCTTTCAGGACTTACGTATCCCCAGACTGGGGTACATTCCTTTTTTTTTTTTTTTTTTTTTTTTTTTTTTTTTAAATTATTTGGCCTTTCAGATATCAACAAATTGCAAGGAGTTCTATTTTGACTAAAAGCAAACTCAGAATTGCTATAATATGCTTTGAAGACATCTATAAAACAGAGCAGATCTTACCACTTTTGTTCCCACAGGTACAGATGGGGAAAGAAATCTCATTACCATCTGGCTTTTCTCACTTGAACTTGCACATAAACCAATAAAGCCTTATGCACAGAAGGGTAAATTCCTTTCTGTAAATACAAATTTTTAAAACTAAATTTATTATTGTCTTAAAAAAAACCCCACAACAAATTAATGTCTAAATTGATAGTTTACTCAACAATGGTAGAAACATGAGGTATTTTTCACTTTCTGACAGATTGCATCTGCTTGGCAACATTACATCTTGACTTAATCCTGTGTTCCCTTGTGAGTGCAGGTTGTGTTCTGCCTGCAGACAGTGAAGCCCTTTACTTTGGCCGGAGAACTGCTCCTGCACTCTGATCTCCAGAACTAGAGCATTCTGCTGTTTTTCACTTTTGCAGCTTGTTTATATGAATAAATACTTGATGCCACTGAAGCTGTTATCCTTCCAAGCTCGTAAACATGAAAAATCCAAGCCAGGGATGTGGCAGTTAAAAATAAACACCTGGGTGGTGCTCAGGGCTGCCTAAAGGAGTTTCAATTCTATTAGCTTCCAGCAGTGTCACTGAGCCTTGGCATCCCTCCACCCCCCTCACCAAGTCAGGTGAGCTCCCCATCTGCCTCCCCTACAGGGCATAAACATGTTTTGCTCAGATTTTAACCAGCTGGCCACTGTTGGTGCATTTGACCCACCTCTGCCGGGAGGATGGAATATAGGATCTTCTGCAGTCCCCTCCAGCCTTGGCTCTGAGCTGCATATCCTACTTGGTCTCTGGACTCCCGAGGATGGTGACTCAGGCAGTCCTTGTTGACCCACAGGCTGTAGATGATGGTTTGTGACAAATCCCATGCTTTTTTAGGAAAATAGTTGTGGAGCCCACAGGTACTCCTGTCAGCTGGCAGAACAGAGGGTGGGATGTTTCTTCACAAGCAAGAACACCTTGTGCTCTGATATGTTCAAAATGAACAGCTGGATTGACATGAAATGTATCTCATAATTTGTCAGGCATGCTGGTGGACCTAAGGAGGAATCCAAAGGCATTTTTACCCTGCCCCTTTAGTTTGGCTCACAGTTGAGTGAACAGTTCATGCACTGTGGTGCCATGAAAAACACCCACGAGAAGTGCTGCTAAAGACCAGAAATTTTTTAGACAGTGTAGGAGACAAACTGCAAATCAAAATAAAGCATTTAAAATCTGGCTGTCAAAAGTGATTAAGACTGGGGAGTTAATTTACTTGCCTCCCACCCAGCAGGAAGAAGACAGTGGTTAACTTGTGTTCTGTTGACCACTCCTTCTCACAGGGGATGAATTTCTGACATCTGATCAATATTTTCTGTGCCAGACATTCACAGAAATAAAACCTACAAGTACAGGAATATTTGTTTTATGCTTGATACTCCCAAACTGGGAAATAGGAAACCAATGAAGCACAGATGCTGTGGACAGGAAGATGAGCCAAGGCTGTGGTTCCTTAGCTTCAACTGGAGCAGTGTTTCTTTTATTCTGGGCAGTGCCCTCCCCTCTCCTCAGCACAGGATCCCCAATGCTCACCCCTGTGTCCAAGGCTGAGCTGGCAGCTCTTGCCCCAGCAGAGACAGCAGGTCCAGCTCTGTTTTGCTACCTGCAATCCCAGCCTGTGGAATTAAAGGTGATGCCCTGGAGCATCCACTGGAGCAGAACCACTGAAGCAGACCCACTTCAATGGCTCAATGTCTGTGGAGACTTTCCTTGCTTATCCTTTTCTTGACATTAAATGGGTTTATTTAAATATATTTTGGTGTGTAATGAGCTATATAATTTGTTTTGGGGTGAGCCAATGAATGGAGCAAGGGAGTTCAGCCTCCAGGGGCTTAGTGTGCTGTAGGATTTCACAAAGAAAGCATCACAGGGTGTCTCTGTCCCCATGGCGTCTTTCCAAGGGCTTTCTGCAGAGACAGGTGGTGTAGGACTGGGAGAAGCTTCAGAAGAAGGCAACTCTTCAAGTTTCAAAGTTAGTAGTTGGATTAAAAAGTCACTGCTCAGTCACCTTGTGGGGAATTAAGAAGAGCACAACTCAATTTTAGAAGAGTGCAGATTGCTGCACCCACAGGGAAAAGGAATGTCTTTCACAAAGCAGGCAAACTACTGAGATCCTTTCATTAAAATAAATATTTTTATTTTCTCTGCTAAGACAAATCCTCTCCATCAGCTAAAATCTATCTTGTAAGTGCCAGTTGATTAATACAATGATGAAGGATTTATTGGTATATTTCTTAAAGCTTGTTGGAATATTTGTTTTTGCTGTTGTAAATCTTCTGAGTAGTATTACTC